GATTTTTTGAAGGAGTGGAGATTGGATGAGCTTCTAACGGAGAAGGAAAGGGAGTTCCACAGGAACAGTGCAGCCCTAGAGAAGTCTTGAAGGCGAGCATCAGAGCTGGGAGTATGAACATCTCCCTACCCTTTTGTCTCTCTCCATCTCCCCCTCTGTTGTTTGCCTTACTCCATCCCTTTTCTCGCCACTCACTCATTCCCATTCTGTGTCTCACTCCATCACAGCTTTATGCATGACTCTCATAGTCCAACCCTTACATCTTGAAATATTGAAGTACTGTAGGCCTTCCAACAGGTTTTGAGGTTCTGTCCTGCGGTCCCATGCTCTCACTGTGCAGCGGGCATTAGGACCACGCAGGGAGAAATTCACAAGTGCTGGATGGGTCCACCCATTATGGACATCAGGTCATGTCACTGGTGACAGACATTCATGGCTCTACAATACCCCATTATGATTCCATACCTTCCATTGTTGTGGGGGGAGGGAGTAGTCCCTCTCTTGCTTCTTGACCCCTTTTAATCTTTGTTCTCTGCTTTTCCTGTCTCTTCACACAGCCTTTCTGTTCTCTCCTAGTTTGGGAGTATACTATTTATCTTACCTCACCCTCTATGGTATATTAGCCATTGTCTCCTAAAGAATCAAATATGTCCATGGATTTTCTCTTCTCAAGTTACATTATCCTGTACTTTGAAAACATGTAATAATGTGTGTTATTTGCACTGTTTGTCATTTCCACGAGCGGTTACTGGGATGTCTCCATTACATTTATTCATGATACAAATTAAGTTACGGCGCACACATAGTAATACACTAATAATCTTATCAGGCTACTTAAATTCTCCTATCAAAAAAAACAAATATGGGGCTACAGTTCTACCATATGCCCATAATCCTTTTTTCCATTACATTTATGTGATTTCTACTCCTTGTTACCATATTCCTGTTTTCTTTGCTTCCTTTGCGATGTATTTGTTTGTGAATTGACAAACAAATCTTGAACTTTGAGTAAAATAAAAAATAATAATAAAAAGCATTAAAAGCCATCTGTATCAGAAAGCAATAGGTGCAGCCACCAAACATTTCCTGTTTGGAACTGGAATATCCTGTTATTGTTGTGACACGTGTTTGGCTCACCCCTGCTGAAAACTGCTTTAACTCCTGTGTTTTTATTGTTAACAGGACACTCCGCAGCCCAAATAAAAAAAAGAAAAATCAGTTCAGTAGATATAATACAAAATAATTATGCATTTTTTTCATTGTGGGTCTATCTAAAAAAAGATGCAGTTCTCTTGTCCCGTTCTGTGTCTGTTCGATCACAGACTTCTCAATGCAGCGCATTGAGATGTCTCTTTGCAATTACCTGCCACTTGAGTTTAGCTCCACTAAGCTAACCATACCAAGAAGTTAAGGAGCTGTTGTCTGAGTGATAGCCAGGAGGGTGTAACATGAAAATGTCTCTTGAAATGTGCGCTTTAGGGGTCCGAAGTGTCCCAGTAAATAAAATCTTAACTCTCATAATGAATTGCATAGCTAGCATGCTATAGTAGGGAAAAAAACAGCAAAAATTATTTATATTTTCAAATAATGCCATAACACAATTTATGAGAACTCCAGACACTGGCAAAAACTCAATTAGCTTGCCTTTACACAAGCCTCCAAAGATGTTTCCACATGCCACTGTAAAGGGAAGCTACATCATTTGCATACCAAACTGATATTACTCACAAGAGCTATCCAGAAATAAAATGCCAGCAGATCCTCCATTAAAATGTATGAATGCCTTTTTGAGATATTTAGCAGAACGATCTACTTCTGGAATGATCTCCAATACATATCCTTTCAAATCCTCTTTTGCTAGTACAAAACATCTGCTTTATTAAACCATACATGCCAGAAACAGATGGCTTTGCAATGTCAGTCAGGAACCGATTTCATGCCTCTCACCTGTCCACTTTTGGTGGAACAGTTCGAATTTTGAAGTCCTGTCCCGCCATCCTGCTTTAGTCCCATGGTGTCCGGAATTCAGGGAGTATCGGGACCATGCAGAGAGCACCTTAGCAGCATTCTATGCTGGGTCCTCTGTGAGAGGTGCTGTTATTGAGGCAGTCTGTGAGCCTGGTTTGCTTGATGCCAGTCTCACATACCCTTTCAGTGAGTAGATCCGCCTGCTTCCAAGGTGGGCTTGTGCATTAGGCTCAATTTGTGTCACTGGTGGCTCCTCCCCAACCTGATGCCAGCAGGGCAGTGTTGGGAGGTATGCTATTTGCATATTTGGTGGACTAGCTCTTAATTAAATCCTAATGACAACAGACCTACAAAACAGTGTGCAGCCTTACTGATACAACACTACCACTTACTCACCAGATGTTAACCCAGCAGTAGTGATTATGGAACCAGGAGTGCTATGGTGCCCTCCTAGAATGAGTAGTCAGACCATTTAAGAACAGTTTGACAACTTATCTTATCACCTCCAGCAGCCAGCCATTTTTGCCTGGAAAAGCTTCTGACTCCAGGAAAGGCATCGACAGGTGCCTATTAGAACCCAAGTAAGTTGTCAAACTATTATTAAATTGTTTTATTACTTACACTGGGAGGGCACCAAAGCACTTTTGCCATCATAACAACTGCAGTCGTCTGTAGTGCATAGAATGTTAGTTTAAACGGATACAGTAGTCAGAAACATTCAGGTTGTAAAACACAGTCACTTCTCTATTATAATCCTGCAGGACTAATCCACCACATACTAACCATAGCCTTCTTTCAAGTTCTCTATTTTGAGTAGACCGCAAGTTTCACTTCTTCCAAAATACAATATCTATGGTAAATACCATTTTATCTTGTATAAACAGGCTTACATGACTTGAAACTGGAATTTCCATATTACTCTGTATACTTGCTTAAAATCCTTTCTGGTTTTAATAGAAAATCCACACTTTCAACTTTAAGGGCAATGATTACTCTTTGATTCAAACTTCACTTAAAAGGTTATTCACTAAATGATTTGCCTTGAAAAATTAGGAGAAAATGACTGGAAATATCTGGACAATTGCCAGGATAGTTCACTAGATTTACCATCCTAAATTAATTAGACTGCCCCTGCATTGGTCCACATGATGCTGCCCTTCTCCGTTATGTTCCATCTATTAGGCTGTAGTATGATGGTTTCAAATTTAGTGTCCCAAAGTACCATTTATGCCTCAGGGGTTGACCTGGGCAATCGTACTTTCTTTCTTTCCCTTTACCCTTGCATCGTGTTTGAGTTCCAGGCTTCTTCCAATACCATGCTGGCGAATGCATATCTCCTAACACTTCAAGTGAATAAAGATGAACACTTTAATTTTAGATGGGGGGGCAGTGGTGGTCTGGCCAGGGTTGTGGCTCTCAGAAATTGTGACTTACTAAACAGGGACAGTTGGGATGTTTGGGAATACGGTGTTCCCTGGCATTAAAAAAAAAAAGGCAATCATCTCTCACGGCAAGGGAATATCCATTTCCACGACATTAATTTGTTTACATCCAAACTAATTTATTTTATATTTTTTTACAAAAGGTTCCACTTCCTAGTCCCCAGGCACACTAGCCCCACTGCTATACTAGTATGAGGCCGCTATCAATTACAAGTGCAGTTTCACTCATCCTAAGTGCCGAGTTAACTGATCTCTGAAATAGACCACTTATCCAACAAACCCTTGCTGAGTCAATACTGAGAAAGGAGGGCTCTGCAGGCAGAGGGATAATTATTTTTATATTGCATTGAATTCACATGCCAGTATGCAGAAACCTGCCAAGTCATACACAATGTGTGCATTTCAACAAAGGTGTATAACAATATATCAATGGGCACAGTGTAGTATAGTATGCTTGAGGTGTAAGTCCAGATCACAATCACCAGCTTATTTTCTGGCTGCCATTAGCAAATGACTCAGTTTCCTCAGATACAAAAACATTCAATAAAAGTAATCTAAGTAAATATTCCGCTTCTCATCTCTTTTTTCTTATCTTCCTGTATAGCTAAAGACTTTAAATCCACATATATATAGTCAATGACAAAGGTTACTCTAGCTGGAATGTTAAGTTGCAACGGCTAACTGATAATTCATCCACACCGCACTGTAGTTATACTATTTTTAATAGCAGAGTAACCCCTTACACTACTAAGAGAATCTATCTTAATGCACCATTGGGATGAAACTACTGGACTCCACCACAGCAAAACTTAATTTAAAAAATGAAAAGCATATGTTAAACAAAAAGAAATGTCACTTCAGGCGTAAAGGGACACTATAGTCACCAAAACAACTTTAGCTTAATAAAGCAGTGTTGGTGTATAGATCATGCCCCTTCAGTCTTGCTTATCAATTATCTGCTATTTAGGAGTTAGATCGCCGTTTCTGCTTATGCAGCACTAGCCACACTTTCCTGCAAGTAAAGTGCGCAGCCTTCCTAAACACTTCCTGTAAAGTGAGATCTAATGTTTATACTTTGTTGCAAACAATTTATAATTTCTTATTCCCTGCACTGTTAATTGCTAGCTAGACCTTGCAGGAGCCTTCTGCGTGTTATTAAAGTTCAATTTACAGAGCAGAAAAAAAACAAAAAACTTTGGGGGTGGTGTGATTCACAGCCAGGGAAGGTGTGGCTAGGAATGCATGGAGAGAAACAAGTGATTTCATTCCTAAATGGAATTGACCACTGAGACTTCACAGGCATGATCTCTATACCCAAACTTCCCTAAAGTTGTTTTGGTGACTATAGTGTCTCTTTAATCCCCGAGTAGAGTTAGGAAAAACTGTTGTCACCATGGCAGTCTTGGTATGCTTATTCATCCTGAAGGACCAATCCAAGATATTTACCTAAATTATAGATGTTTAAAGAGAAAAATAATTAAAAGACTTTAAACATACTAAAAGGATCTGGAAAGATGATGCTCTAAGGTTTCTCAATTACTAATAAGAAATGCAGACAGGCAGAACAATGGGCAAACATTGCAGTAAAACATTCATGTCACGTCTAGTCTTGAGGAAGCTGCTATTACACACTATATGGAGCCCAGTTCATAAATTATAGCTTGCAAGCAGATATAATAGAAAAAAATACAAGCACTGCACTTAAAATGATTTTATTTATTTTTTAATTAAAAAAGTCAAAACTGTTTTGTTTTTTATGGAATTTTGAAAATAACAAAAAACAGGTCCTCTGTCAGGTGTTCCCTTTAATAAATTTCAGATAAGGCCCCAGTGTAAACATATTTTTCATCCCTTAAATCTGGCTCCTTGAGCAGAGATACAATGCAATGCATATTATTAACTTCAAAATTTTGAAAAAAAATAATTAAATAAACAAAAAACCCTCAAGAAAAGTAACATCAAAGAGAAACAACTTCATGCCACATTTACGAACACTGTTCATGCGAACATCATGGCCTCTTTGTGACAGTAAGGCCAAAAAAAGTTGGACTGCACAAAATGCTGAGAAAAGGGTCCCCAGTAACATGTAAAATGTTCGCCCTTATAATTTACTTAGAAAAGGAGGGTTAGCTATAGAAATTAATCATCTCTGGAAATACACTCAGTGGAACGCTCATTGTGGTGAGATTTTTTAATGCACTCAGTAAGTTTTTTAATTTTTAGTGTTATAAAAGCCAGGAAATCCTCCATATAGAAGTGGTAGACTTGCTGCCATAGTAAGACACATATTATGTTTCATCACACCTCTGTATGGTTACATACAGTGGATATCGTGGATCAGAACAGTTAGTTAACGAAGTCTTAGGAATAACAAGAAGAAAAGCAAAGTTGGAGGATGTATGAAGGGGCAAGTTTGGCATCTTTTGCATTGCAGTAAAATGTAAATGTCAGAGGAGGTCCATCAACATGCCAGCCACCCAGAATGGTGAGTTGTGCAGTTTGAGCTCGGGTTATCTCCATCCATGGTGAAAAGTGTTGGCCCACTGAACAAATGCTCACTTAGATTCGCGTTTGTCTTGAAGCAGTGGTATAATGGATTCCCATGCTGTAAGGCACTGTTAAAAAAAAATAAACAGATGTGTGATTAAACACTTTACACGCTTCTCGGCTAGCAAGTATACTACACAATTAAAGCGGCATTGTAATTTTCCACTTTTTATGTCCCTTGCATCCTAATGATTATACGTCTCCCTTGCCAATTGTCTTTATTTACATTTATTATCTTTTTTTCCCTTGTATTGGATCTCAAAATCCAGGCACCTCCATTTGTTATACTCTGTCCATGACATCTGTAGTTTACCCTTCTGTGGGATTTTTTTGACTGATGGATGATGGGTAAATTAGCAGCTGAAGTGGAACTTTGCTTACAATTTGCTCACTGCCAAAGAGCACACTGTCCAAAAGAAAAAGTAGTCCCTGCTTTAAGTTATGTGTAAGAAGAAAACCAAGGTGAATTTCATTAATTTTATACTCAAACCAATGACCAATCCAATGCGCCTCCTAGAGGAGATAATTGGATTGGTCACGGATTGGGTTTCCATGCTAATGCTTCTCATAGGAAAGAACTGAATTTACTGCATTCCTGTGAGCTGCAAGGTTTAATGTCAGTGCTGTAAGACCCTGAAATGTAAACATTGCAACCTCTATAAAGCTTAGAAGGACGGGCCACAGCACCTAGCCCAATTAATGTAGAAAATTAGCTTAATAAAACCACATTGGGAGTCTTTTCCGTTTCCAATTAAGCCTGCACCAGATTAAGCACTGAATGCCCAGAACAGTGCATCAGACACTCACCTTTTCATAGTACTGAATGTTTTTTTCAGCCATTCCCATGAGCAGCTGACGGAAATCCTGCCTCTTGTTATTTTGCCACCTCTCCATGTCCGCTTTCAAATCAGCATTAAAGCATTCCACCTTATCCTGACACTTCTCTACATCCGTAGGCCCCTAATAGATTCAAACAGAAATGGAATTACTATGTGTTGGTTTCAATTAAAGAAAGCTGTCAAGTTAATATGAATTATTCAACACATCCAAAAATGTTACAACATACTACTACAGGAAAATATTAATACAAACATGTTTTTGTTTCCTGCAGACAAAAGGGTGATTATCTCTGTATGATTTTATGCAGGAGAGAGATGGAAAAGCTCACTAGAAGTTAATTGCTCCTCAGACCACTATCATTTATCACATATCACCATTCGTCTGCAGACTGGAGTGGGAGCCCACAAGCACAGTGCTCTCTGGGCCTGGACTAGCCCACTACGATATTTCCAGGAGACAAAACTACCTGTGGCCAACCACACGTCCAGGCTATGAGGAGTATGTTTGATACAGAAATGTCTACAAGTGGCTGTGGGGTGAGACAAAGCACTGGTGTCTATGGATTTATAGGAAACAGTCTGCATCACTTGGGCAAGCATAGATTATTTTATTGCTCCCACAGCAGAAATAAAGAGCGAAAAAAATTGTGATATATGAGGTCACAACACCTGATCCAGCAGCCTCCCACCTATACACCTCAAACCATCAGCACAGATTTCTGCATCTGTGTTACATATATAATAAAATAAAAATAAAAAACTATTAATTTGTACTTGCCTCCAAAGCTAAACGTTGCCAGCCTTCTCCCACTAGTAGGTTTTGAGCAGGGTTTAATTTTTATCCTATTAAATCAGTAGCGACATACACTATGCTTCCCCTTAAACAAACCAAGAATGTATGTGAAAAAATTAATGCTCTAGTGCCCTCTACAGGAACCTTGGCATGATTCAGGGGATACCATGAAGAAAAAAAAAAAAAAAAAAAGAAACACACTTGCAAATCCACTTTATTTTCCGGCAGATTATGTTTTAGTGTTCTTCTGATTTTGTTAGTTTTTCTAAACCGATCCATTGAGAGACCACTTTGGCTAAAATGTACTATTTGCGAGCCAATTTCAAGACACTTGTTAGGGATCAAGAACATATGCTGATGCGTGCAAAATGTGGAAAAATAAGTTTTAAAAATGCAACATTTAATACAATCTGTGACGCAATGACTTCACTTGTGTCTCAGTTTGGTTTGCCAGATTCCCTCTTGTTGTCCAGGACACATATCACTTATGTCTCGATGGGCTGCACTTGCAAAGTGCAACTCTGCAGTATGTCAATCAGAAATTGTATAGGTAGTAAACAAGTAGTTATTAAACAATCTGAAATGCTGCAGCATCGGATTTCTACATCATGCAGGACAACGCTTTTCATGTGCTGCCCAACATGAAGATGTAATAGGTTTCTGGCAAACCTACTAGCTGTAAGAAAAGTACAGTATGTTTCAATTACCCCAGTTCGCTCTTCTCTTTTGAGGGCGGCAGAGTCCAGTTTGGCTTCATATTCAGCTTGAGTCTGATCCCTTCTCTTAAGTACATTCTAGAGAGTGAGAACAAAGTGATTTATAGACTAGTTAAACACAGTGTCACGGAGATCATGGATAATGTATTTCTACAACTTTTCCTATATGCTACTCCAGGTTTGCCAAACGGTCTCAAACGCACTTTTAACTGTTCAGAAAATCACATGCTTCAAATAATTTGATCCACACACCTTCACCTCAATCCTTTGGTATATGCATCTTAAAGGGAGCATGAACCTCAGGGGTTAACGGAACAAGGCGAAAATATTCCAAAACAATGCATGTGAACGCCTTTGCAAAACACTATCCTTGTCATACATCTCAGTAAATCAATAGCTGGATACACATGACTGCATGGAATACACAACTGGAAGACAAATCCTTTTTCTAGAATTCATCATAAATTGACTCTTAAATGGAAACGAGTATGGCCCAGAAAGCAGAATCAGTGTAGAACACAGAATCAGAGTGACAATAGCACAATATTTATCAACACACAGCGAGAGTGAGTTAAAAGTGGCATTTGTCAGAATAGTCATGGTGCTCCAAATTTAGCATACTGCCACACGAGCTTGTCTTGATAAAGATGAGCCACAATCCTAAAAACATTGAAATATGATTTCACACTTTGCTCCTAAAGCATAAAGTGTATTTTCATGTATAATGTATTGGGGTACTTAATAAAAGAAATATTTCAAAGAAAAACTGGCAATAGTTGCATCACTCAATCTTCTCATTTTACCTTCAAAGATTCAGAGTAGAGGATATACTCTCTTAACACCGGCAGAAAATCCTCGGTCATATCCTCGGTGAGCTCCTCCAGTGCAGTACTGCAATTGCCAACACAAGCAGACACTCCTTCCAAAGGTTCACGGAGCTCCTCTTCCAAGCCACTCCACGTAGAGTACACTGGGCCATACTCTCGTAGCTCCACTAGATATTCTGATATGGAAGCATAATATGCAATGAGTCTTTGGTGATGCCAGAGCAGAGCTCATTGGCTTCTAGCAAACATTTAACATACAACTAATTGCTCATGTTTCTTTATACAATAAAAAAGTTAAATTTATTGTGATTCATTTACTCCTAGAGTATCACTTTCTAGTTAGATTTTCTTCACCCCATGTATTATTTTCCTTTAATTTTTCACAACAAATATAATAAAGACATGAAATGTAAAGGAACAAAATACCTAGCTCATGCAATCTGGTACAGGGAAATCACACAATTAGCACCGATACATCTCTACAAGTGGTGTAAGTACATAACATCAGTGTCAGTTGTAAAACTTGTTTGGACCCATTGGGAAACTTAAGAGTAGTAATTGTAAATACATTTTATTCTCATAATATCTCGATGCACCATCATAGCATTGTCCTCAAATATTCATGAATTTGGACATATCACCCACCCCCCTACTAGAAATGGGTGGTGGGTATCTAACTGGGAAATCACTTCTGAGATAGTAGGTGGTTTAGCAGATTTCCAAATAGCTGAAATTCCTATTTTACCCCTAAAAGAATATCCAATACCATATACGTTGGCTACCCATACATTTGCCACTTGAATGATCCTCCTATAAAGCTTCTCTGTTATTACTCAAGTCACCCCCTACCACAGCTTCATGTCTTTAGAGGAGGGCTATACCTCTGTAATGTCCATTAAACAGTTGTAGAAAGGTCTCTTTCTAGGTCTGCTCTACATTGAAGGTCTAATTTGATCTTTTAAAGCAGATCTGCCACATTTCAGTATTTAACGAATACATATGCTTTCTGAAATACTGATCAAGACTATGTTGGCATTTCACTGCAATTCCAATGCAATCCAAAGATACCATAGGACAACGTAAGGACTCCTTTGTCTTATTGTAATGCCTGTGGTTGACAAAAGCGAATGTGGAGCTCCGCTGTCAAATTTTGTCCATTTCCAGCAGCCGTGTGGGATTCAGGTTCTGTCTATGGAGGATCCTGTGGTCTCACGGGATTCTCCATAGACTCCAGTGTTGTACTCCCGCACATGTGTGAGAGTTCAGCACTAATGTGCCAGGAGCCGAAGAGGATAGCTGCGTGAAGACAGTGGCAGCCGCAAGGTAAGTAAAAAAACTCACCACTCCTACACTGCTGCCACCGGACCCACACCAGGTCTGCGAATTTCGGGGATCTTTGCAAAATATGCAAATACCGCCAAACGTGACAGATCCGCTTTAAACACTTGTTTTTTTACATGGTGGAAAATTGTAAATCAATATATAAAAGAAAAGACTGTTTAGAACAGATTACAAACAGCAATTGGAAAAATTATATACACTATTGATCAAATGCCGTGACATTTGCCAGGAATGTTAATGGTTAAATGTCTCTTTGTAGAAACAACTACACCTGGATATCTGCTTTCAACATAAACTTCTAGGTAATGACAGGACCAATAATAACATACTACAGAGGGCATTTTGCATTCACGATTCCTTTTTTAAAGTATTAGTTTAAAAATAGGATATTGTGAATCATAGCAAACTGACAATCAAATTGCTAAATGGCTACTATTAGAGAGGAATTCTATTGTCAACACAATTTATTAAGTAGTGACTAGACACTCTAATCTGAAGGTGTATGAGTCAGGAACAAAAATAAACTAATCATAAACCTACATACACTTAGTAGAATACAAAGAGTAAAATGTAACACAAATGCTCCATTGGTAAAGCTTTGGAAAGTGAGCTATGCCTTCAGACATTGGATTTAATCAGACACTTTGAACCAGAAAGAAAAAAAAAAAAAAAAAACACACAAAAAGACCATACCCACTTCCTCCTTGATTATACGTTGTGCTATTCTGTCAATTGTGCCAAGTTTCAGTGCAAATGTGTCCAAGTATTCTGTGATTGCTGAAAATTCCATGGGACGAGCTCTCAGCTTGTAACCACTTGTCACGTACCGCACAGACTCCCCCATTTTAGAAAGCAAAGTTATTCCCTGCTTCTTGTGACTGTTCAGATCCTGTTATACAAATGAATGTGTACAAAAAAAAAAAAAACAACAAACATTTAATTAACTGTTACAAGCACTAAGTGCCAAGTTAATTTTAAAAGACACTAATGCAATCAGGTAAGTTTAAGTTACATTTAAGCTTTCTAGACAGGAAGAGCAGAGAGTACATTACACAAAGGGGATGTAAATACCGTGGCATTATTCCTGCTTCTTACACAACACTTCCCCTTGGAAACAGAAGCTGGGTATGCAACCTATAGGTTTTATTTGGCGGATTTTTCATATTTAATACTGGATGACTTAGGCCTGACATATTAAAATAGTCAGATATAACGTTATCTAAAGAGTTACTGCATGGTTCTCGGTCAGATTTATAAGTGAGCTGGAGCCCATGTAAACCATAATAGAATCATCTGAATAATATAACCTGCAAATTGTTCCCTGGTGTACTAGGACAGGGGTAAGCAATATTCAGCACTCTAGATGTTGTGGATGACATCTCCCTTGATGCTTTGGCAGCTTTATGGCTGTAAGAGCTTTATATGAGATGTAGTCCACAACTTTTTTTGGGTATGCCTTTGCCATCTAGATTGTAAGTTCCATGGCAATAGAGCCCTCAACACCACCTGTATTTGTTCAGGTCTTTTGTATTGTCTCAGGTGCATTGTACTTTTGTCTTTTTACAGTGAGGGAAATAGGTATTTGATCCCCTGCTGATTTTGAACGTTTGCCCACTGATAAAGAAATGATCAGTGTTGTGGGCAAAAATATTAACCCAATCCATGTTGGTAAAGTGCCTATTTACTCAATATAACTACAATCAGCATTATTCAACCTTCTATGTGATCTACGTAAAATGGCCGCTAGGGAGTTTCCCTTTGACATCGACTAACACCCTCATTAACAAGATGGCGCTGGAATCTGGGGGAGACCTCCAAGATACCAGTGACATCACACCCGGTAGGAAGAGCACTAAATAAACCATGTAACACCTAACCAATTATTGATGTATTATTCCAGGTTATCTCTGACAATGCATATGATGTAATTTTGCTTTATACGGGACATGCCGTCCCCTCAGAATAAACATTCCTCAAGTTTTTCATTAACCCGAAACGTGTGTCTGGTGTCAATTACTTTAGTAGCGTGCACGCATTACTTCTTAATTTGGCCGAGGGCAGACACGCAAGATAATAAATTTATTAATTGATTCCACATCATTCAGGCTATAATTTTAATGGTAGGTGTATTTTTACAGTGAGACACAGAATAACAAAAAAAAAATCCAGAAAAATGCATGTCAAAAAAGTTATATAAATTAATTTGCATGTCAATGAGTGAAATAAGTATTTGATCCTTTTAACTTAGTACTTGGTGCCAAAACCCTTGTTGGCAATCACAGAGGTCAGACATTTCTTGTAGTCGGCCAGGTTTGCAAACATCTCTGGAGGGATTTTGTCCCACTCCTCTCTGCAGATCCTCTCCAAGTCATTAAAGTTTCGAAGCTGACGTTTGGCAACTCGAACCTTCAGCTCCCACCACAGATTTTCTATGGGATTAAGGTCTGGAGACTGGCTAAGCCACTCCATGACCTTAAAGTGCTTCTTCTTGAGCCACTCCTTTGTTGCCTTGGCTGTGTGTTTTGGGTCATTGTCATGCAGGAATACCCATCCACAACCCATTTTTAATGCCCTGGCTGAGGGAAGGAGGTTCTCACCAAAGATCGTACGGTACATGACCCCGTCCATCGTCCCTATGATGCGGTGCAGTTGTCCAGTTCCCTTAGCAGAAAAACACCCCCAAAGCATAATCTTTACACGTCCATGTTTGATGGTGGGGATGGTGTTCTTGGGGTCATAGGCAGCATTCCTCCTCCTCCTCCAAACATGGCGAGTTAAGTTGACGCCAAAGAGCCCGATTTTGGTCTTATCTGATCACCCAGTTCTCCTCTGAATCATTCAGATGTTCATTGGCAAACTTCAGAGAGGCCTGTACATGTGCTTTCTTGAGCAGGGAGACCTAGTGGGCGCTGAAGGATTTCAGACTTTCACAGCGTAGTGGGTTTTCCTGGTGACTATGGTCCCAGCTGTCTTGAGGAACAAGATCCTCCCGTGTAGTTCTGGGCTGATTCCTCACCGTTTTCATGATCATTGAAACTCCATAAGGTGAGATCTTACATGGAGCACCAGACCAAGGGAGACTGACCGTTATTTTGTGTTTCTTCCATTTGCAAATAATCGCACCAACTGTTTTCACCTTCTCACCAAGCTGCTTGACGATGGTTCATTCCAGCATTGTGTAGGTCTACAATCTTGACCCTGACATCTTTGTACAGCTCTTTGGTCTTGGCCATGGTGGAGAGTTTGGAATCTGATTGTTTCTGTGGACAGGTGTCTTTTATACAGGTAACAAGCTGAGATTAGGAGCATTCCCTTTAAGAGAGTGCTCCTAATCTCCGCTCATTACTTGTATAAAAGACACCTGGGAGAAACATAGAATGCGACGGCAGTTAAGAACCATTCTGCCCATCTAGCCTGCCCAATTTTCTAAATACGTTCATTAGTCCCTGGCCTTATCTTATAGTTAGGATAGCCTTATGTCTATCCCCACGCATGCTTAAACTCCTTTACTATGTTAACCCCTACCACTTCAGCTGGAAGGCTATTCCAAGCATCCATTACCCTCTCAGTAATGTAATACTTCCTGATATTATTTTTTAAACCTTTGCCCCTCTAGTTAAAGACTATGTCCTCTTGCTGTGGTAGTTTTCCTTCTCTTAAATATAGTCTCCTCCTTTACTGTGTTGATTCCCTTTATGTATTTAAATGTTTCTATCATATCCCCCCTGTCTAGTCTTTCCTCCAAGCTATACATGTTAAGTTCCTTTAACCTTTCCTGGTAAGTTTTATCCTGCAATCCATGAACCAGTTTAGTAGCCCTTCTCTGAACTCTCTCTAAGGTATCAATATCCTTCAGAAGATACGGTCTCCAGTACTGCGTACAATACTCCAAGTGAGGTCTCACCAGTGTTCTGTACAATGGAATGAGCACTTCCCTCTTTCTACTGCTAATACATATCCCTATACAACCAAGCATTTTGCTAGCATTTCCTGCTGCTCAATTACATTGTCTGCCTACCTTTAAGTCATCAGAAATAATCACCCCTAAATCCCTTTCCTCAGATGTTGAGGTTAGGACTCTATCAAATATTCTGTACTCTGGCCTTAGGTTTTTACGTCCAAGATGCATTATCTTGCCCTTATCCACATTAAATATCAGTTGCCACAACTCTGACCATTTTTCTAGTTGACCTAAATCATTTTCCATTGGGCTTATCCCTCCTGGAACATCAACCCTGTTACATATCTTAGTATCATCAGCAAAAAGACATACCTTACCATCAAGACCTTCTGCAATATCACTAATAAAAACATTAAAGAGAATGGGTCCAAGTACAGATCCCTGAGGTACCCCACTGGTGACAAGCCCATGCTTCGAATATACTCCATTGACTACAACCCTCTGTTGCCTGTCACTCAGCCACCGCCTTACCCATTCAACAATATTGGAATCCAAACTTAAAGGACCACTATAGTGCCAGGAAAACATACTCATTTTCCTGGCACTATAGTGCCCTGAGGGTGCCCTGACCCTCAGGGTCCCACTCCAGTGGCGCAGAGGGGGGAGGAAGGGGTTAAACTTACCTCTTTCTCTGGCGCCGGGTGGGGAGCTCTCCTCCTCCTCCTCTTCGGCTAAATGCGCATGTGTGGCAAGAGCTGTGCGCGCATTCAGCCAGTCCACAGGAAAGCATTCACAATGCTTACCTATGGACGCTGGCGTCTTCTCACTGTGAAAATCACAGTGAGAAACGCGGAAGCCCTCTAGCGGCTGGATTAACCCATTTATAAACATAGCAGTGTCTCTTTGAAACTGATTTGTTTTTTAAAAAAAGGGGTTAACCCTAGCTGGACCTGGCACCCAGACGGCTTCATTAAGCTGAAGAGGTCTGGGTGCCTATAGTGGTCCTTTAATGATTGCAGTTTATTGATAAGCCCTCTATGTGCAACAGTGTCAAAAGCCTTACTGAAATCTAGGTAAGCAATGTCTACTGCACCACATTGATCTATTATTTTAGTTACCCAATCAAAAAATCAATAAGATTAGTTTGGCATGATCTCCCTGAAGTAAACCCATGTTTACTTCAGGGAGATCATTGCTGGTTAATAGGGGATAAAATACTTATTTCACTCATTGACATGCAAATCAATTTATAACTTTTTTGACGTGCATTTTTTTTTCTGGATTTATATTTTGTTATTCTGTCTCTGTTAAATACACTGTATCACTGTTAAAATACACCTACCATTAGAATTAGAGACTGAACATTTCTTGGTCAGTGGGCAAACGTTCAAATTCAGCAGGGGATCAAATACTTTTTTCCCTCACTGTACTTGTTAATTAACTGTACTCATGTACAGAGCCGCAAATAATAATAGTAAAACTCTTTCTATTTATTTTTCTTCGATAATACCATCACGGATTGTCCTCACCTTAGCTGTAAGAAAGACATTGAAATGTTCGTTGAAGGAGAGAACGGGATGGTCTGCAATCCTCTTGAGGAACTTGTCCAAAGCTCTTCTCCTGGTTTCCACAAATTCTTCGGAAAAACGATCAACTACTCCCTTCACCACAAACTTCTCTGGGAGAGGCTGAATTAGAGAGGAAAGTTTCAGATGCAGGTAATGCAAAAAGTGCCAAAGGTCCAAAATTAACCAACATTGTAAGGGTGATCTTTACTGCCACCAGTGACAGTAACTGCAGAGCGTTAAAGCTCTCAGTAAAAGATCTACTGAACACAGAGCTGTATAAGGCATTGGCATTTTAGTTTATTTACTATACTAGTTTTTCATTCTGAATTTAAATCTTTAAACATGCAAATCTCTAAAATGCTATACACATACAAAAGCCCAATGACTCCAGAGTAAATATTTGCCACTGAAAAACAGAATATGATCAAATAGTAAGCAAATAGCACATAACAGCCCATCCATCATAATTCTAGTTGTGTGCATATGAACATCCATCTGATAGATTTCTCGACCTTATACTTTACAGATATCACAGATCGCTTACTCACCACTCCCAGTCACCTGCATGCCATCTTTCAGATCCAGAAATTCCAGCCGCCACTTTGCAAACTCAAATCACCCCTCCATGTGAGTTCCTGCATGAGGAGCTCAGCTGATAGCGGGGAGGTGAGACAGTGAAAAAACTACTGTAATGTACTGAGCTGGCTGCCTTAGTGTGATAGGAGTCTGACTGGTGAAAACAGACTCCTAACATTAACATTGTACATGCTGGACTCACTGATTCCAGCATGTACTGGCTGCCTGAGAGTGATAGAAGATGGATAAGCATCACCCAGTTCAATTAATGGCAGATTTGTGTAGAAATTGTGTTGCTTTGTCAAAACTGTATGCACAGAATATAGGCACCAGTTATCAGCAATCAGTCTAAAAGGCAACAGATAATCTGTATCGACTCTACATAACTGCTACAATCAGGAATTTGTATTAGGCATCTTCAATATCTTCCTATCAAACCAACCAGAACAGTACTATTGTATTACACTAGCACTACACAGTAATGGTTTGATAGATACAACAAACTACATGTAGAAAAACAGTATGATTTAAACCTTGAATAAATCAAATTGCGAGCTATGCATGACAAATTCTCCCTTTACAAGCAATGGGAGATCTACAATTGGCCACAAATCCTAAAACAGCTCCTGGTCTCTGTGGAATTAGAAACACAGGCTGCAAAGCTACACTGGGTACCCTCTTTAATTTCATAAATTAATCCTGAAAGAGTCAAAGCCGTAGCTCTTTTTCTTCAGGGCTCTAAATAGTGTGCATAGCATTAGTCTGGTGGATCTTTCTTTAACCCCTTAAGGACCAACTTCTGGAATAAAAGGGAATCATGACATGTCACAGAGGTCACGTGTCCTTAAGGGGTTAATTGTAAAATGAGCTTGTTGACTATTTTCTGGGTAATGAAATATATAGCAATGGTATAAAGATCCCACGTTGTTGGTTAATCTGGGCTTCAGTCTCTCAAAATCAGGGACATAAAATGCAAAGAAAACCAAATGTATAACTTCACAAGTGCAACAGAAACCAGCAATATGTCTACAATAGCTGACAGCAGATCTGGCAATGTTAGATTTGAAAGAGGCTGAACATTGATAATACAAAAGAATGCATACAGCCAAATATTCATAAATGTGTCCAAGCTGGTACATCTGTTATACAACCTACGGGAATGAAGTGGGTGGGTTGTGTATCTTCAAGTTTATTTCTCAGCCAGTCAAAATCCTGGTACCTTCTGCGGACGGAATACTCCGGCAGATCAAATTCAGCTCGGGTGGTCTAAAACAAAACATAAGAATTCATGACCTATTGACAGCATAGTTAATTTAATAATTAACACAATAGACGTGATAACACAATGGGATCTTTTGATATCAAGTTCCGATTTGAAAGGTTATTCGTCGACCTGCACCCTAAACAGACACACATTTTGTAACCTGAAAGTACACAAATATCAAGGAACTTTCTTATCCTGGAAACTTCATCTCAATTTAACACCAATGATGGTCCCCAAGGTAGTAGTTGGCTCTTTTCTCTCCCTTCTCTGCTCATTCTGAGCCGAGAAGGGAATTATTAGGGACACTATAGGCACCCAGATCGCTTCATCTCAATTAAGTGATCTGGGTACCACATCCCCCCAGTTTTAACCCTGCAGCTGATAACATTGCAGTGTTTTAAGGTTTATATGCGATTTATATTAGACAGTCTTAGAGAGACCATCTGATTGGCGCAGCTGGGTATTTACCCGCATTAGTCTCCATACTTTCTCATGGAAAATAATTGGATTGGCTGATATTCATTTCCAATCTCCAATTCCAATCTTTTCCATTTCCAATCTCAGCCAAAGAGAAAGCTATTCGGAGCAGAGACCGGCACGGAGTGGTAGAAAAACTAAGTAAAATACCCCTTTTACCTTTACACACATTTGTATTCCCAACGCTATAGTGTTCCTTTACGACCAGTGACTGATTGAAAGTGTTAGGTGATGCTTTCATACTTATTTCTGGCCTCCCATTGCAAGTATAGTATATATACTCACTATGTGTGAAAAAAACAGATAAATAAAAATAGTCAAATACACTGCTTATTTGTTTTTGTAAGGATCCTGACGGCATTACCACCAGTACAACTTACTGAAAATTGCAACAGAACAAAAAAGAAGTCTGCATTTGAGCATAATGTCCACATACAGTAAATAGAGCTAAAATCATATATTTCTAAAACATATTTGAAAAGTACTATAACAATCTTTACCTATTACGGGAATGCTAATGTGAACAGCAGTGAAATAGGAGATCACTCCTTCCAGAGATGGACAAAAAGTTTAATTTGCAAAGTGAATTAAAGACATACATACATGATTTTGAGAGTGAATGGGTCAAGAATGATTTGGTGCTTACATTTTACCTTCAAGTCATTTACATTTTTTTGGTCTCATAAGCATGTGCCTGTGTTAGGCCTAAATGCATGTGTGCTATGTAAAAACATCAAAGAAATAATTATCACAAACATTAATAAATAAATAAAAAGTAATTTTGTATTTCTATAGTTAACTAGTAAGTGGGATGTTGTATTTGCTTATATCTAGAAAGTACAATGGTTGGCATATGTTGCATAACAGGATATAACAGACTGACTTGGCAGCCTTTAAATAACTATTGCTCAGGATTATACGAGACAAAAAAAATGGAGCCTGAATGGGTAGCAACACTAATAGAAAAAAAAAACAAAAAAAAAAAAACAGTGTTTACTGTGACGTCCTTTGATTTCGCTCTCCATCATGCCATCTATTTTAGTGCTGAAAGTACAAGTTTAGCTCATGAAATATTATATAAGACTTCTACAAAGGCTAGACTGGTAGCTCACATACAAGATCCTATATTTCTCCTGTATTAGCATATCTAAATTGTTTTATTGCAGTTTACCTTCTGCTCCCTTTTAACATTTGCATTAAACTACTCAATCTTGCTGTGTGTTTGTCAATACCGTATGAAAAGCGTGATGTAGTGGTTATGGTGCCAGGAGAGCCTTGGCTCCCCCCAATGTAAGTAGTCAAAGCGATTGTTAACAGTAAGACTTCTTACCCGGGTTTAGGGCGCTGGTCACTTCCTCCATGGAGTCGGAAGCTCCTGCATGTAGATTTTGTTGGCTCTTCTGTGCTAGGCCCTGCAGGGCTAGATCATTAGATGATACGGTCAGCTGATCACTCTCAGCCAATGAGCAAAGCACCGCACCGATGGGCTTAACTCAGAGCAGAGAACTTCCAGCTGTCAGAGAGTCAGTGACAGGAAGCAAGTGGATTCAAGTTAAGAAGTCAAATCATTAGTAAATGGTCTGAATACTTACAATAGTGGGATGGGGGTGGGGGGGTAAGGAATTGTTTGCACTATAAACATCACAAAATGATGTTTTCACCAGTAAAACGTGGCCCTACTGTTTATTAGGACTTACATGTTATTATATATTTTAGGGCTCCGCTATTTTTTTTATCAAAATGTTTGGACTTTGGAGATAAATAACCAAACCCTGCTCCTTGGCATTCACATGGTATTTTTAGAGGTTAAACCAGGGTAAGTTTTCAAGATCTGAAATTAAGTATTTTGGCTGGCTTTTAACCCAGTATAAAATGTTATTGCATATTCTGCAGGGAAAAAAAATTTAAAAAAAATTGTTCTCTTGTAATACAACCTCTTTATAATTATTAACCTTTAATATGTAAAGTACAGAACCTTCAGTGAAGTACATAAAATTATGATAATAATGACATATAAAAAATAAAATAAAAACATTCTGCAGGACTATTTATTCTGTCTAAATAGTAACAATAAACAACATAAAACAAACTGAAATCAAGAGTGGATTAAAGGAACAATTTAGATCAGTGGTTTTCAACCAGAATGCCATGGCATATTGGCACACCTCTGGTTACCTTAGATTTAAACTATAGCATTAGGAACATAGACCTGTATTTCTAACACTACAGTACCCCTGTACGTAGTTATATATAGGTCCCTCCCCTCTCCCGTTTGCAACAAAAATAAAAGTTGCACTAATCTTTTTCCAGCGTTCCTGGACACTTCTCACCTCTCTGGCTCCCACAGTATCATCGAGGAGAGGAGGGATGGCCTCTTTTGGCAATGGTCTAATCCAGTGCTACGAACTGATGCATATGCACAATGGGCACCACACATGTATCGAATCACTGAATCCTATTATTTTTGCGTCACATGACCAAGTTTTACTCAGTCAGCCCAGCAGAAGCGCCTCTAGTGGCTGTCAGGAAGATAGCAACTAGAAGTGGATTTATCCCTGCAATGTAAACATTGCAGTTTCTAAAACAAATAAACAAAATCAATGTTGTCGTTTACAAGGTTAAAATTATAAGACAACTGAACCAAGACTGAACGTTATGTTCTGAGTGGTTGTTGGGAACTTACCACTTATGCTCTTGGGATGTCTATCTTAATATAGACATGCAGCGATTTCACAGATTTTTTTTTCCCCCCTCTTTCTATTCTGTCTCCACTAACTATCTAGCTAGCTTACCAAGGAAAGAGGCTTTCTATTTTACTGTCCTACAATACTTTCTAACTTAACATCACTCCTTAGATATTGTGTATATGTCTTGGACACCTCCAAACAAATAGGGTATTTACTCCTACTCTGGTATCGTCAAGTTATACTAGATTAGGAATAGGGCAGATCCTGTGCTAAAACAAGCAGTCTAAATAAAGCTACCATTAGTTTAAGCCATTCACTGAATGACCCTATACTTCTATTACGAGTTAGTGGAGAAGCCTTATTAGGCTAGTTTGACTTTATTTTATTTCAAGCTTTGAGACACACGTGTTTATATATGTTCATTTGGTGCTGGCCCAGTTAAGCTTAACATTTATTTAAACAAGATCCCAATTTACTTTCCAGCTTTCACTCACCCTCTGGGGTCTGAGTGACTTTATTCCTGTTTCTTTCTTGTGATGAAGTGGTCAGGGTGACTTAAGTGCTCCTTTAAAATGCGCCACAAACACATTGGCTCCTTTTTACTAATTATGTTTTTTTTGTTTTGTTTTTTAAACCAATAGAGATCTCCAAACTTTGGATACTGAAAACTTGGAACACCCACCTTGACCAATTTAAAACAAATTGTTGAAGCCAGCTTCACAACTCTAATAAAGTAAAATAAAACAAAATTTTAAAAAGTGTCACATGTCTAACATCCTTTTTATAAATTATCTAAAAATGATCTTCTTGAAGACATGTTCTCTAAAACTGGAAATCACATGATAGACTAGTTTTGACCAGAGATTAGTAAAGTGCATAAGTGCTTCTTTAGGTTTGCCATGTGTCTTTCCATGAACCAAAAATCCTACTGTTTTGTAGCACTCAATGAGTGTAGCACAACTATGTTTTAGATTGCCACTTAACATTTTATTGATCAGTAAAATATTTGCACAGTTTAGGAATGCACTCAACCAAGTGCATTTCAATTTATAAAAGGCAATTTTCAAACAGTGTTTATTTAAATTTCTACGTATGTAAACTCTGAAGCACCCTAGGAATTAATTCTACTTGAGGATCCAGTTACTTATTTTTCTTCAGATTTTTTAAATTTTTTCTTTGATAAAATGATTTTTGTTTAAATACTTGTATAACCTTTGACATAATATTAAAAGTTGGCAGAAAGAAAAAAAAAAAAAAGATTAAAATCACTAACTAGTTCCTTGGTTCAGCTGATATTGCAGTGAGATAACCTTGTTTTTAGATATAATAGCAGCAAATCGATGAGATATACAGACCTTGATATATTTCTTCTGGATAAACTTTTTAAATAATCACTATATTAGAAAAGTGTTTCAAATGATTTATCTACAAAAATTCCTACTGACTTTAAAGGTGACTTCTGTAGTTAATTTATTTGAAAAGTCTTTTTTTTTTTTTTAAACAGATTCTGATCATTTGAAAAGCTTATCCAAAAGAATTGGCTCAAGGCCATAGTTAGGGTGCTTGCCAAAGAAATAGCATGAACCCTACGCTTATGCATACTAAAATATGTTTCAGGCCCCTCATCACTTTGGAAAATTCCTTTTTCCCAGTTTTTGTGCTGTACTGTACTTATTTTGGACATTTCTCTGGCATAGCCATAAGTGCGACAGTAGTCCTAATTTGGGACTGTCCTGCTGAATCTAGGACAGTTGGGAGGTATGCACCTCTGTCCTGGAATGCCATTAGACTACCAGGGAAAGTAAGATCACACAGGAACTGGAATCAGTACCGCGTAATTTGTAATCTGAGATTCAGGGAAAACTACACCTCACAAAGCCTACCATTATGCAAATCACCCCTTCTATGTAAAAATGAGTGTGTTGATTATAAGTGTAAGTGGGAGTACACTTGTTCTTATTGTTATTTTACACAATTTCCATACAGGGTACATTTCAAAAACACACATTTAATGCACATTTTAATGTAGTACAACAATGTTTCCACTAGAGGTACTTTCTCTCCAATAGACCACTGCACACATGCTTTATGGGTGTAGAGTACCCAGTTTAAAAGGCATTTTATGAGAAATTATTTTATCAAATCACTTTTATTCATAAATAATGAATAATCCCCTGACTGTCAAATGGCCAGGAAGGTTTCTTCCTGCTCCCCTGAGCTTACGAAAGTGGCAGACATGCTCTACTTCAGCGCGCCTGCTTCCATCCCACATACCTTCTTTTCAGACCTCGGATAAGAGCAGCGATGTAGATGCCCGTGCACGGAGGATACCTTCAGAGGCTTCTTTCTCATTGAGGTTATTTCTGTGTATAGAGACTGAAAATCTCATACGGCGAAATATGGGAGGGCTTTGAAAGGCTGCAGTCAAAGGAATTGCAGCTTGAGCAAGCTCTTTGAAGGTATACCTTCCAATGAATACATGCATGAAAAATGCATGCATGCGTGTGTTCATAGGAAAAATACAAAATAGTGGGTTTAAAAAAGAATTAATATATATTTTAAAGGTGGAGTGGTACTTTAAGATCTAGGTCTCCAAATGTGTCGTTATCACGCACTGCATGACACTCTATTAGAAGCATGGGACTGACGGAGCTCAGTGATTGCAACAAATGCTGCACAGTTCCACAATGAGAAGCACTGGGTTTAACCTGATGATCTCAAAGAACGGTTTAACAGTTTAACTTTTTTTTTTTTTTTTTTTTAAACAAATATAAAATATGTTACTATGTTCCTTTTATACTTATTTTTAATACTAGAGCGATATTTTAGAAGTTGTACTTGTTATTCCATGTATAGGCTTTGCATTGAAGTGTGACATTCTATCTCTGCACATCACTGGCTATTAGATACTTCATGACAACTTTTAGATCTACCGACGGTATTTCTGAATTTAAAAGCCTGTCAGCAGTCTTTCAGAGCACCTCCATAATCTTATTCCATTGTATCGCTTTATAAAGTGTAAATGTATTTGTGTATGGCGACGTGAGAAAAATTACGATTAAAAAGGCAGAGCTGTTTTTTACCTTTGTATCCAAAATAAAAATAAAAGAATTGTGTTCAGCACACTGTGTGTGCACCTGCTTGAACAGGTCACTGCAGCCGCTAACCGCCCCCCTCCCAAGCTGATAATATGAGCATGCTAATTTCAAATTCAAATTAGATTTGTCATAAGCATTGGTTATTAACAACAGCCAGTAGTCAGATATTGACAACCGTAGCCCTACTTGGTAGTAAAATGTACCACAGTGCACTGCAAGACACATCAAAATAAGGTTTAGAAAAGAAAGAAATAAAAGTGAGGTAACATGGGATCTCAATATTACGGGGTATATGGCAGTGAGCGTGGACAGCAGGGTGAAGGGTAAGGAGTGATGAATTATGTTCTCAGGAGATTCTCAGTCTCTTGAGAAGATTACTTGCCTTCACATGGTATTAACCCATACAAGACTGGTTGGCTCACGGAGGAATATGCTGGTTCGTATTAAACAAATTCTGTAAAATTTCGCTGCTGCACTTTGTCGACCTGGAAATATATGCACTTTATGCCAGTGAATGTAGGTTTGGCCGGAACTTCTGTGTGCAATCATTGGTACAGTGTAAATAGCGGCTGCATTTTTTTTTACCTATCAGGAAAAGTATTTATTGAATTCTAGTTGGACCATGGGGAGTAATCAAATCGGTTCGTTTACTAAATGGTCGGCTGAAGCTCTACCAGATGCAATAATTACTTGGTTGTTTAAGATTTATTATTGAGTGAAATTCCTTCTTAGAGCCTGGATATCATAGTGCAATTACCTTATTCCATTTATAAGACAGTCGGGACTGTGAGTGCAATATTCGACTTGCTAACACTGGATTTTCCCCAAGAGTGGAGCTGCTTATTGCGGCTGGGACACCGTACAATTATAATAAAGCACTTTAGTGCCACTATGCAAATATCTTTAACTTTAGCAGTTTCCACTTCGTTTAACAGGGACACTATAAAGCACTGTGGTACTTAAATCATTCTGATGCACTGCTGGCCTAAATATTTAAATTGCAGTAAACCATCGATCTGGCTGTGGATTAGCCGGTGTCCAATGTAGAGGTCTACATTATTAAGTATTGTGGCACTTCAATTAATTTGGTGCACAGCTGGCTGGAATATTTATGTGCAACATCGTACATTCAAAAAATAAGGAAACCATTAATTTGATTGTGAACTATGCCTTTTATATTTTTGTCCAGGTCAGGCATGCAATTTATGATATACCAGCAATTACTCTTATTAGGAAGTGTGAATTAATTTATTTCATATGTGTATATTGTTTTAAGATTATGGAATGAAATTAAATACAATTATTAATAATATTAAATACGGGTAATGGCACCCCCTCTTTTTGGATTTTGTTCATATTGGTGGCATAAGTTATATACAATGTGGTATAAATCTGTTCTCTGAATCTTTGGATTGTACCTTTAAAATGGAAGTGCTGTGTTGAAACTGGTTAATGACAAAATGCTGTTAGAGAAATGAAGAAACACTTTTTCTAGGCAAAATATATTTTTGGGGTGATCAGGTTTATTTATTCAAGCAAATGATTAACTTCAAACACAGCGGTCTGTGCTCTCCGATAGCTGTAGTGGAGGTGGTTTGACCACTTACATAGGGGGAGGAGGCACCAGGACACTTGTGGAACAATAACCATTACAGCGCATTGAAGTAGTTATGATGCTTAAAGTGTCCTTCAAGTGAGAATTTTTGTAGAGTTATTGGTTTGTCCCTTTAATGCAGAATGAGCATGTTGAATACAAGTGCACATACACACACTGTATCCATAATAGGTATAGAATATGAAACAATGGTACCTTAAAAATGCACCGTGCTGTACTGGGAACATACAAAACACAAATGACTAACCTTGGTCATTACTCTGTAGGTAATATAGGTTTCCATAGTGCACACATGTTTCTTTGGATCATCAACAGTAACAAAGAGGTCCCTGGTCTCACCATCCAAGTCATCATCCAGCTGCAGTCTGTTGAGAAGGGAGGATGATGAGGCTGGGCTGGAAGTATCTGCTGGAGTACCGTTAGGCAAACTAAGGTCCTAGAGGAAAATAAATAAATAAAACAAAGCACAATTACATACCATTCTCAGAACACTGTAATCACAACATAAAAATCTCATGGCATAATAAACCATTTTACTTCCATTCCACTAGGCATGTCTACATCTGTTTTATCCACTAGAACTCAAGTGTTTTAATTGATAGTAGCATAGCATTCAAAACCAAACGTTATTAAATAATTACCGGTATTGGGTTAGGTGAGATTTCCAAGCAGTGCAAAACGAGATTTACAAAAACACATGGAAACAAACACAAGGGCCTAACCCAGGGAAGGAAGGTCACTTCTCTGGAAAGTATATCACTGAAAATTATCAACAACTTGTGTCAACCTTTATCTCACATGATGCTCTGTTTTAGTTAAAGGGACACTATAGTTACCCGAACAACTACAGCTTAACGTAGTGGTTCTGGTGTCTATATCCTGTTGATCCAGATTTTTTCCTGCCTAGTAACACCTCAAGTGGCAGTCGATAATGGTTTAACCTCTTAAACTAAGAGTGTGCCCGGGGCCCTCCTAACACCATAACAATGTCATTTAGATGAAGTTGTTATGGTGACCAGACTGTCCCATTAAAGATTCAAATGAATGATAAAAAATATTGTAATTGTAAACTGTAATGTAAGAACAAATAATACAGCTCTCAATGATGCAGGTAGTAAAATAGGAAAACAGGATATAAAGTAAACATACATGGAAGAGCAGGATTTCCCTGAGGGGGAAAATAACTATCAATTAAGTTAAATGGACACTATAGCCACCAGAACAACTACAGCTTATTGAATTTGTTCTGGTGAGTAGAATCATTACCTACAGGCTTTTTGCTGTAAACACTGCCCTTTCAGAGAAAAATCAGTGTTTACATTACAGCCTAGTGATAACTTCACTGGCCACTCCTTAAATGGCTGTTAGAGATCCTTCCTGGGTCATGGCTGCCTAAAATGCATCCAAACATTCAGTATCTCCTCCCTCTGCATGCAGACACTGAACTTTCCTCATTTAGATTTATTGATTCAATTAATCTCTATGAGGAGATGTTGATTGGCCAGGGCTGTGTTTGAATCATGCTGGCTCTGCCCCGATCTGCCTCATTGTCAGTCTCAGCCAATCCTATGAGGAAGCGCTGTGATTGGATCAGGCTACCACTTCTGATGATGTCAGCACACTGCTTGTTTTTCTGAGTCTAACAGCATGCAGAGTTCCAGCTTCAAGCTTGAATACAGTAAGATTCTTACTATATTTATGGAGGCATGAGGGGCCCAGGGGGGCTAGATGGTGGTTTTAACACTATAGGGTCAGGAATACATGTTTGTGTTCCTGACCCTATATAGATCCTTTAAGTATACAGAAACCAGCAAAAGTCTATTCATTTTTAAGGAGAAAAATAAAATACTCTTTTATAAATCAGATTTTTTGCTAAATGTCAGTTTTTTGCAATAATCCTTTGACAAATGCATATTCAGTCTTCTAAAAGATTTGTCTACTGTGTGCATGCTACAAAAGTTTTGGTTGGGTAATGTGAATTCAGTACAAATTTGGTGCCTGACGCCAGACAGCTAACGGCGGCGCAGCCTTGACTCCATGTTGCCCATGTCTTCCCCTCATTCCTCTCGCTACCTGAAATCTGTTCCCCTACTGAGGGGAAGCGACTTTAGAAGATAGGAGGAAGATAGGGCTGCAAAGAAATCTTGGCCTCCGAGGTCATAGTTGAGCTGGGGGGGAGGCACTATGGTGGGGCTACTATAATTAAAAAGTGTGGCTGTTTTTATATATAAATACACTCACTATTAACAGTATAAACAATAAGGTATGAAGCACACTGCAAATGGGTAAGGGTACCAAGAGATTCAAAGGGAATTATAAAAAGAAAAACACACTTTTGAGTAATGTAATCAGGGAAGGTATGAAGACTTCAAAGCTTTAATTTTAGTTCCAGGTGTCTACCTTATGGTCACAGCTGATCGAAATGGTTTCGGTGTTAAACATACACACACAAACTTTGTTTCTCATTTGAATCCCATTTGAATACATCAGCAAAACAGTCATGTGAAACTTGTGTAGTTCTTAAAAAGCTGCTTCCAAAAATTAAAGTTGGATACCGAAGAAGAAGAAAAAATTTGACTTTCATTAACAGGCACAAAAACAGGTCCAGATCAAGTTTCAAATCTGCACAAAGATCGACCCGACACCTTAATATTTTGAGCACTGTATGTAAAATAGGACAAGTATTATAAGCCAATACTCTGTCTCCTAGCAACATGGCCAAGTCGAAGCAAAAAGCATATGGACAAGAAACTGTACTTAGTTACTAGTGTTCCAAATTAATGCATTTGGGACAACTGAAAAGTAAACAAGATGCCTGCAAATCAAGATCTTCCAGGTATGAAGTAATCATTACAATACTGTTCCAGATGTGTGGACACTCCCCAAATTATGGGAAACCTAGATGTAATTGCATTTATAAATATATAAGAAAATGCTAGAGAGAAGTGTTTTTTTTGTGTTGAAACTGCATTGGCAAACCTGGGAAACGGACAAGGTCAATTGTTTCTTTTTGTTTGTTTGGTTTTTTTTTAAATCCAGCTAATGGAAGAAATTATAAGGTTTGTGGCAAAAATGTGCAACTCTCTCATCAAGAGCAGTGAGGGAAGACACAGCTTGTCAATCCCTCCTAGACTAGTTTTTGAAATAGTAAATGGTATAAAGGCTAAAAGGCACATGCACTGTGGTTACTCTTTAAATTATTTCTTTCAGCAATTATAAACCATAATAACATAAATCATGGCATCCTGGGGGGCAAGTCTTGACAGCCATACTGAGCACCTCACATAACTTGCCCTAAAACATTGAAAAAGTGAGCTCACCGCTGAATAATCGACAAGAAAGCCATCAGATACCTACTGGTGCATTCTTGTGCCTTGCAGAGATTAGACTCTTTGCAATTCTGGCCTAGCAAGACCCAACCGGAAGTGGCGGCCGACTTCCTTGACGGGATTTAATCAGACGCGACAGCGACTTGGGTCCTGTCCTCATCTCTCCATGGTCCGGTGGGGGTTCTCTCGCTCCCCGCTGGACTGTGCCTCTACGATCTTTTAAATCACAGAGGTTCACCACTTGCTTAAAACAACTCAAGGCAGGATGCAGCATCAAGCTGACCTGACAAGCCAATAATGCCAAACTCTGGCTAACTTAGAGTAAGTTTCTGACCATTTTTGGTTGATGGAACGCACAAGGTTACTGCAGTCAGAAAAATTACCAAGGAAGGGGGAGCATGGGGCATCGCAGGGAGAGGTCTGGGAAGCACCTCACGGGCAAATGACCACCAAATGCCGACATAACCCATATCTATGGCCTTCCTAGGCTGAGAGCCACTCGGTGTTCGACTCCAATGCATCGACCACACAAGTTGAGGACTGTGAGACGTGAGCAATGACATACATCCAAACATGAGGCCTTTGCATTTTTTCTGATGGGATGAACTTCTCTTCAGAGAAACACGGAGTTCGTAGCAAGGAGGTGCTGGCTCATCACCAAGCCTGGGACTGAAAGGGTGCTCCACCTCAGTACCACTGTGCACTCATGTGGAAGGGCAGTACGCTCATCTGAGACTACTGCCTAGTCAGGACATTGACTGACTTGTAAAATTCGCTCTCCTGTGCTGCTCTGCTCACCACACAACTGGACACAATTTGCAGCTGTCCCCCGATGCTTCTTCCAACTAAATAGTCCCAGTTCAGACGTCACTTAAACAGTCCTACTTGTACTCTGTAATATGACTGAATATACCTAATTTCCTCATAGTTAGCTGCTGCCTAGAGTTTAGTCATGTATATTTAGCTTGCTTATTCTACAATATAAAATTGTGCAGTTATCTCCCATGACACCCAATTGTTTCACTGTGTTTTTTCGTGTTTCTTGAATACCTTGCTATTACTGTCGTGTCAATGATTGCAAGCTTAATTATATTCCGAGGCATGGGGGATTTTTTTTTTTTTTTTAAGAAATAAATTCTGATGAATATTGCAATGTAGTAATAAATTGAAGACTAGCAATTGGCTGAGGGTTTCCAGCTACTACTAACTTCAAATCAAATACTTATTTTATCATGGTGAGAACTTAGCTGACAACATAAACCCTTTATATTTAAATGTCCAATAAATTCATAGCCATGCTGGCACAACCTGGCATCCAATGCTAAAGTTTTGAGTTACATTCTGCTTTCCCAGATAGAGCAGTCAATATGCCTGCTTTTTACATTGGTCCTGATCGTATCACATGAACAATGTAAAAATGAGTGTCTCACCAGCAGAGAAGCAACTGGCTTTAGTCAGAAAGAACTTCCACTTGATTTCGGGTTAAAACATACAATTTTTGAGTAAGGGGGAAGCAGTTTTTATCTGACCAAGTTGTTAATTTATCAAATGACAACAACTGAAGCAACAGATAGAAAAGCCAAGAAGCAAAAGAAATGAAAGTGAAAAATCTAATCTATTCATTTGAGGGTATTCATCTGGTTTGAAAATTTCAATTTTATTATGAATGTGAACAAATATATCAATCATCATACAAACAAAAGAACAGAGCAAAAGCATATACACAAACAACAGTAGGAATGTTGAATATCATATGATAATTTTGGAGAAGAAAATGGTGAATTGGAAGTGTATAGGTTTCCAACAACGCAATAATGAGTACCAGAAGAAAGGAACATTTTTTTAATGGTTTGTACACCTCCTACTAAAGTGCATCTGGCACCACTAGAGGTGCTTCCCCTGTGAGAACAGAGTCAGACTCCTAGACAGCATTTGACTGGTGCAATGATTTGCTGCACATGTGAACTAGCCTCCCAGTGCTTCCCTTTCTCAGCCAATCATTGGACCCGATGAGATCATCAATCTTGACGAACTCTGCCAGTAGGTAGTGTGGCTGTGGCAAGACTACCACAGCAATGGAAGAAAGGCAAGTAAAACTCACCCTTCATACCCTTATGGGGGAAGTACACATAAATAGGTAGGTAAACATAACAGCAGTAGAAATAGATAATATAACTTGACTGTTGATTGCGGTCCCCAGCATGAAAAGCCAAATACTCAAAAGGTTCAACCAGAAGGTAAAACCTATAAACCTATGATTTTAAATTATTATTAAAACAGCTACTTGAGCATAAATGAAAAAGGAGTAGCTTAGAGAAGACACACACGACAAACAAAATAATTAATAGAAGTATTTTAATTGTATGTAAAAAAATAAATTAAAAATTAAACTACCAAAATGTGGACCAAAATGTAGTCACCTACGAACACCTAGCCACCAAAGCCAACTTACGAACAAGAGACTACTTTAGGTACATGCAGATACGTGACTTTGCACAAAACCCTGACATACGGAAGGCGGCTCTGACACCACTGACCTTCTTCGAAAAACTATGTTACAATGAGACAACACAAACTAAACTCATTACGCTACTATACAACCACCTCAATGGGAACTCGAACGAGGAGGGCACGCTGCGATACACCGACCAGTGGGAAGCCGACCTGGGGGAGGTATTAGAGGGAACGGAGTGGCAGGACATATGGGAAGCATGTAGCAAAACCACAATATGTGTGACGCTCCAAGAGCAATCGTATAAAACACTATTTCGATGGTACCTGACCCCCGTGAAACAGAAACATATGGGGCTAAGTCCCACGGACGACTGCTGGCGCGGGTGCGGGGGGCGGGGCACGTATATACATATGTGGTGGGGCTGCCCGAAGGTCACAGACTACTGGAGTAACATTGTGGAGCTTAGCTCCCAAATCCTGCAAAGGCGACTGGGATTAGACCCATGGGCATGTCTGCTCTCAAGACCCACAAAGGATCTCCCTAGACACGAGCAAAGACTTCTTAACATGCTCTATTTAGCGGCCCGAAGGTCCCTAGCACAAAAGTGGTCATGTCCAGATCTCCCACATATATCCCTGGTTAAGACAAAAATGCGAGACAATTACATAATGGACAAATTGACCTCTCAGGTGCGAAACACCATGACTAAATTCCAAAAAGTCTGGGACCTATGGGAGCAATACGATACTTAGCACAACAACTTGGGGCGCGGGGCAGCATCCACGCAACTTTCAACTGGCGGGGCGGGGGCCCACCAAACGCCAACCACCACATCAACACTCGGACAGGCGGAAGAGGCACCACTGCTAGACGAGGGTGGGGCCGGGCCCAGCACACAAAACACAACTTAAGGGAACTGACTACCCCCGTCGGTAGCTCACTCGGTAACCATGTCAAACCGATATAGCTAAACACGCAGGTACTTGTCTCCAACTCTTTACTTTCCTTTCTATCTCTCTCTTGTAGGCAGGCACCCCAGACCTGTAAGTAGGCAGAAGGGGAAAGGCAGATAAAAGCACATCAGTGTTTTGTGGTGCGTAGAAGGGAGGGAGGGCGCAGTCGCATACCCCAGGAAGCGGCGAGACCGACACTCCACTCTATAAGCCTAACCCTTCACAGCAAAGCTATTGTACATAGTTAACACTGCTTGCCACCCATACCAAAAATTCAGACGGAGTCACCTACAGAAAATTTGATGTATATGATATGCCTAAACTGACAACTGTCACTTGCATTATATATGCTAATGTATGACTGCGCTGTCATGTACATAAATGTAACTGCTTTCATGATTACCATCTACTTTGTCAAACCAAAAATAAAGAATTAAAAAAAAATTAAACTACCGTATATACTCGTGTATAAGTCGATCTCATGTATAAGTCGAGTGCAGTTTTGTGACCAACAATTGTGAAATATGCTATGCCTCGTGGATAAGTCGAGGGTAAAACTTGGGGCTATGAAATTATGTGATTTTTATAATTATATACACACACACACTCAAACAAACACACACTCTGCATTATATACACACACACACACACACACACACACTCATACAAACACACACTCTGCATTATATACACACACACTCTGTGTATATAATGCAGAGTGTGTTTGTGTAGTGTGTGTGAACTGGGTGGGGGGAGGGCATTTTTATTATTTTAATTTTTTATTATTTTTTTAATATTATTATTTTTTTATTATTTACATTTTTTTTGTCCCCCCCTCCCCTGCTTGTTAACCGGTCAGGGAGGGGGGCTATCTTAATCCCTGGTGGTCCAGTGGCATGGGCTGTGAAGTGGGGGGGCCGGCAGGAAGCATTTACTTACCTTTCCTGCAGCTCCTGTCAGCTCCCTTCTCCTCCGTTCCGGTCAGCTTCACTGTAAGTCTCACAGTCTGGTTGCCGCGCGGATCGTTGCCATGGCTCTCTAAGTTGCCATAATACAGACAGTGACTCAAGTATAAGTCGAGTGGGGGTTTTTAAGCACAAAAAATGTGCTGAAAAACTAGACTTATACTTGAGTATATACTGTAAATCAAAAAACACATACAACAGACCCATATTGGAGTGATAATGTACTATATGTTAATGTTCCTTGTATTATAGGTTTTGATACATAACAAAAAAAAAAGGGGGGGAAACTGCAATTTTACTCACCGTAAATTCCTTTTTCCTTAATATGGTGGCAGTACAATAGGGATGTACTCTTCCCTGGGACAAGCAACTACAATTAAAATTAACATAAAAAGTTCCTCCCCCAACAGATATAAGACACCAACCTGCCAAGGACCCTCAGTACATCCCAATAAAACATCAGAGACTTAACACTACAAAAATATCAAATTTATTAATAGGGTGAGGGAGGGGAGGGAGTGCTGCTACCATGTTAAGGAAAAAAGAATTTACGGTGAGTAAAATTGCAGTTTTTCCTGATATATGGTGGCAGTACAATAGGGATATATCGAGATTCCAGAGCTATGGGCGGGAACTATGCAACCACCACAGCATGTAACACCTTATGCCCGAAAGCAGTGTCAGATGCAGAGTATACGTCTAGTCTGTAACATTTGACAAAGGTGTTAAACGAAGATCATGTAGCAGCTATGCAGATAACTTCAGGTGAAGAATGCGCTTTTACGGCCCATGAAGTAGCCATGGCTCATGTGGAATGAGCTTTCAAGGAGGTTGGTAAATGCAGCTATAAGGAAGATTGAGCCAATGTAATAGTGTCCATGACCCATCTAGCCAGAGTAGACTTAGAGGCAGCATGACTTTATATTTTCCAAAGAAATTGACAAAAAGATGGTCCGTCTTCCTGTATGCAGAAGAGCAGTCAAAGTATATTTTTAGAGATCTTCCGACATCCAACTTGTGCCAGTTTTCATCCACATTGGAGACAGACGGATTACTAAAGGTAGACAGGGAGATTTGTTGATTAATAGCCCTGGAATAGATGACTTTTGGTAGAAACTGCGGTTTTGGATACAGAACTACCTTGTCTGGAAGAATCTTTGTAAATTCAGTAGGAGATGAAAAAGCCTGAATTTCACCTATTCTCTTAGCAGCAGTTATAGCCACCAACGCTGAGCTTTAAGGAACTTTCCTCCAAAGGATCAAAAGGCTGAGTACAAAGAGCCTTCAATACCAAGAGGGAAAACCTCTTTTCCTGGAGGTCTAAATTTGAAGCCAAGTTCCTTACTAAAAAGTGTCTCAGGACGGAAACTTGAACTTTAAGGGTAAACAAACGAAGACCCGCTTGAAGGCAGTCTTGTAGAAAATGCAGGATTGTATCAGAAGAAGGAGAATTTCTCAGGCAATGATGATAGATGCACCTATGAAGGAATTGTGTCCAAATCTTCAAGTAGATAGATGCAGATCGTCTGGTAGAATTCAGCAGTATCTTGAATCTCCCTTATGTAGGATTAGCCGTGCAGCAGCCAAGCCGTCAATTTGACCATCTTCAATATCTCTACTGGAATCCTTTCGTTCTTCAGGAGCTCTGTTGAAACTGGAAGTTCCCAGTACTTTAAAACCATTGTCATCAAAACCGAGAACCAGTACCATTGCCTTTTCTGTCTTCACCTTTTGAAAAAAACTCTTGGAATTAGGCTCACCGGGGGAAATATGTATGCAATGCTGAAGGGCCACTTGATTGACAGCCCATCCAGAACCAGAGGCATGTCTGCCTTGAAGAGGGAGGCAAATGCTTGCACCTTTGCGTTCGACCTTCTCGCCTTAAGATCTATGACAGGTAGACCACATATTTTCACCAGCTGAAAAAAAATGACCGGATTTAGAGACCAATCATTCTGGGACAATCTGGATCTGCTCAGGTCATCTGCAATAATGTTGTCTATCCCTCTTATAGGAGTAGCAGATAGGTCTTCTAGATGACTGAGCCCAGGACATAATTTTTGTGCAAAGGGAGTGCAACTTTCTTATTCTTGTACCCCCTTGTTTGTTCAGGTAAGCCACTGTAGTTTAGTTGTCTGACTGTATTTTCATCGCTTTCGCCACAATGAGAGGCCTGAACTGATGAAGAGCATACAAAACGGTTATCAACTCCTTGTAATATGAGGATTCACTTTTTCTGCAGACCATGTTCCTTGCCTGAAATTACACTGCATGTGTGCTTCCCAACCTGTATTCTAAGCGTCTGTGGTGATTATGACCCATTCTTTTGGTCGAAATGATAAACCTTCTGACATGAATCTGTTTTTTTTTTTCCCCCACCAATTCAGTTGCCTTTTTACAGGATCTGAAATATTTATCAAGGTATCTTCTTTCTTTGACCAATTTGTAATTTCCCATTGTAATGGTCTTGATTGTGCTCTGGCCCATTTTACTGCTGTGATAGTGGAAGTGAGGTGTCACAACACCTGCATAGCTTTTCTAACAAAGCATTTTGGTTCTCTCTGAAGTTCTTTTCTAAGCTTCTTTATCCTTCTTTTTGCCGCAGTAAGGTGGATAGGTGGATGTAGGATGCAGATTAGAATTTTCCAGGTTTATTACCCAACCATGTTCTTCTAGGATTTTGATGGTGTAAGCTACAGCTGTATCTAGAGCGTCTCTTGACTTTCCCGTAATGAACCAGTCGTCCAAGTATGGAATAACTATGATTCCTTGTTCCCTGAAGAACGCTGTGATAGGCTTTAGAACCTTTGTAAATATCCTGGATGCCGAGGCAAGCGCCAGTGGAAGGGCTTTGAATTGAAAGTGATGAACCTTGAAACCCTTTCTTATGGCAAACCGCAGGTACTTTCTTGAGCCTACGTCCATAGGTACATGTAGGTAGGCATCTCTAAAATCCAATGTTGCCATAAAATCTCTTTTTTGAAGGATATGAGTGACTGACGCGATGGTTTCAATTCTGAAATGCTGATATGGAATATAGTTCTTTATCTCTTTCAGATCTAAAATGGGGCAAAAGGACATATCTGGTTTTGGGACCAGGAACAACCGAAAGTAGACACCCTGATATAGCTGGGCTCTTGGAACTCTTTTGATAACCCCTTTCATTAAAAGAGTAACCATAGCGGAGAAAAGCTTGTTTTTTTCTTTTAGCTTTGAACGGTAGAAGGAGAATGTTGCAATCTATAATGAATGCAGCGACAAGGCTCATTTTCCTGTCCGCTCGCACCTCCCATGCCTCCCCGCTCTGTGAGTCCCTGCATTGGCTTCCAGTTAGATATAGGGCTCAATTTAAAATTCTGGTGCTTGCTTACAAGTCCCTACATAATGCTGCTCTAACCTACCTATCCTCCCTAATACACAAGTATGTTCCGTCAAGACCTCTACGCTCTGCCAAAGACCTACGTATCTCTTCTGTCTGTACTCCCACCTCTAACGCTCGCCTCCAAGACTTTTCCAGGGCTGCACCTCTTCCATGGAACTTCCCTTCTCCGTAAGACTTTCACCCAGTCTCCACTCATTCAAAAAATTATTGAAAACTCTCTTCTTCAAGAAAGCATATCAATTAAACTGTTACCAGGTTTTTATCCCCCACCCCCCATAACTCCTCTCCTGCAACTATCAAAAATTACCTACTAAGCACTCAGTGAATACTTTTCTAACAACCTACTTTGTACCCCTACTTTTACCTTTTGTGTCACTATACCCCACTCCCTCTAGAATGTAAGCTCATGGAGAAGGGCCCTCAACTCCTCTGTTCCTGTACGTCCAGTTGTCTGGTTACAATTACATGTCTGTTAATCCCACCATTATACAGCGCTACTGAATCTGATGGCGCTATATAAATAATAATAATAATAATAATAATAATAATAATAAAGAAACCTGGTCTTGAAACATCTAAGAACTTTATTTTGTATTCTCTTGCAATCAGATTCAAAATCCACAGATTTGCAGTGGTCTCTCTCCATCTGTGAGCAAACTGTTGTATCCGTCCGCCCACTCGTATGGCGTCAGAATAATTTTGCTCTGTCAGTTTTAATGTCTTTATGTGTTTCAAACCTTGGATCTTTCCTTTGTTGACTAAAAAAACCTGGGTTTTTCTTGATACCACCTTTGGTGCTTGTACTGGAAGTTTTTGTATCTGGGCTTCCAGGTATACTTCCTGTCCTGAGGAAGAGCTTTTTCAGTTTCCGACATCTGTCGGATTCATTCTTCTAAAGGAGAACCAAATAATTTTTTCCTCGCCAAAGGAAGTTCACAAAGTGCAGACTTTGAGGCTGTGTCAGACATCCAGGCTTTAAGCCATAGTGCCATGCGGGCCACAGATATCAGGCCCATGTCACGAGCAGAAAGTTTAATCACTTCTGTGATAACCTCTAGCAGGTATTCATTGGATAATCTTAAATTGTGGAACACATGAGAAAGATCTTTGTCTTGGTGTTCAGCCAGGCTATCTTCCAAACCTTGAAGCCAATAATACTGAGCTCTACCCACTGAAGCTCCTGCCAGTGCTGCTTTAGCCTGAAAACTGCTGCTTGTTTGACTCGTCTGCTGGATGTTCCCACCCTTTTATCCATAGGGTCTTTAAGTCCAGAGACTGATTCAATCGGCATAGTAGTCTTTTTCGACAACTGAGCAACCTGTACGTCAACAACTGGTAAGTCTTTAGTTTAAAAATGCTCTTGAAATGCCTGGAAATAAACGTCCTTTTTTCAGGGTTTTCCCACTCCCTGTACATAAGCTCCAGAATCTGCTGTTGAATTGGTAGGGATTTTCTGCTGGCCTTTTCTGATACCTCTTCAGAAAAAGTAACATTAACTTCCTTAATACATTTTCTTAGTTTTTCATGTGGAAAACCTACTTCCGTGATAGAAGTATCGCTGGAAATATCCGAATAGGAAGACATAGAACATTCACCCGAGGACAACTCTGATCTAGAAGAACATCTCTTCCGCTTGTGCCTCTGTTTAGCTGTTGCTTTAACGGGTGGTGTAACATTTGACTTAGCAGAATCTTTGAACGACTCAAATGTTTGGGCCAGATTGTCTTGAAACCAAGATAAAAATGGCTTCATGTCCTGTTGCTTGGACTTTGCCAGCGTTAAGGATGAACACTGATTGCAGATTTTTCTTTTTGTACCATCTGGTATTGGTGTGGCACATTCGCTACAACTCAGATGTTTACATTTATAATTAGCTTTATTTAGGCATTGGAGCAGTCGCTTTGTCTTTATCTATAATATCTGGAGAAACAGGACTAGACATATCTGCAATAAATAAAGACAATAAAAGATTGTTTTAAGTTAACGGAGCCTTGACGGAATCCTTCCCGATTCGCAATGGCACGAGGCAGGGGTGTCCCCTGTCCCTGCTACTGTTCGCATTAACATTGGAACCCCTATTGGAGGCAATCCGACGAAATATTAACATCACGGGCTACAACTGTACAACCGCCACACATAAAGTAGCCGCATACGCGGATGACATGTTGTTCTTCATTACACGTCCAAGACTCACCCTACCATGCCTAATGGAAGAATTCGAAAAATACGGACGCCTCTCGGGCCTCAAACTTAACTTGAGTAAATGCGAACTGCTCAACATCACAGATCCGCTTGGGGAACACAGGGATATAGCCTCGACCTTCCCGTTCCGTTGGTGTCATACCCAAATGAAATACCTGGGGATATGGGTGATGTCTGACCCAAATGCCATATATCAGAAAAACTTCCTCCCACTTCTCACACGCATTCAACAAGACCTCCGAACCTGGAATTACCCACACATCTCATGGTTCGGCCGCATAGCGGTCATCAAAATGAATATCCTACCCAGACTACTATATTTATTTCATACAATCCCAGTGACACTACCGACGACCTTTTTCGCGACAATAAAAACCGCATTCCTGACCTATGTCTGGAGAGGATGCAGGCCTAGACTACGATATGAACTATTATGCAAGACCAGGAATCAGGGCGGATTGGCACTCCCAGACCTACGCAAATACCACCAAGCGACAGCCTTGCAGCGGATACTGGAATGGCATACTAACCCGAGATGCAAACAATGGGTGGCCTTAGACAGAGAATCCTGCAGCCCATCTATTTTTGCATCCCTATGGAATCAGAAAACGCCACGGCGACACGACCCCGGCACAAATTCGCCAGCGAGTCACACCCTCCACTTATGGTCTACAATAAGGAACGCAACGACCATCTCCCCAATACCCAGCCCGATGACCACGCTAACACATAACCAAGCAGTGGGGGGAGGACTACCGATCAAGGCCTGGGATTTTCTAGAGGGAAGAGACTTCATACCACTCCACAAAACACTAACCGCCTCAGGACTGACCCCCCTGGAACGCCTAATGGAAGGCCCGCCAGCTCCCATGCACAAATTCCGATACTCCCAGCTGACGCATTTCTACCACACCCTACCGAACAAACAAGCGGTACACAGAACCCTCACGTGGTTTGAGGACATCTGCGACAAACAAACACCGACTCAGAAACCAACGTCGACGCTATACCAATACCTAATCACAGGTGAGCAGCAAACAACCCGACGATATAAGGAAAAATGGGAAAACATCACCGGCACAGTGTTCACCGACGCACAATGGGACAAAATTCTCATCCTCCATCACAAATCCACGATTAGCTCAAAATACCAAGAAATGAACTATAAGCTTCTGACATTCTGGTACAGAACCCCAGACCTGCTCCATAGAATATTCCCCAACACATCGGCAACCTGTTGGAGATGTGAAGCAGACATAGGAACACTAAAACATATATGGTGGGACTGCCCCAACATTAAACCGTATTGGAACCAGATTACGTCCCGCATCAAAGAGGTACTAGGACACACGATTTCAAAATACAAACGATCCATCCTGCACCACCTTCTCGACGCAGCCAAGGCTCTAATCCCTGCCTTATGGAAAACGACAAACGCCCCCACAATGGAACAATGGCTAAACAGGGTAGAAGAGATCAGATTCGCAGAAGAAATGCACGCGACCCTACGAGACACCCTCACGAAACACGTTGACAAGTGGCAACCTTGGATATTATACGTGGCAAGACGTGATGGGGGGGACGCGGCGGCTGGAGAAGGGAGTTAAGGGGGCTTCCACCCATCCCTACCCCTAACAAACCACACACACTACACGCAATAAAACTACAACGCTCACACGATCAACACACCGCCAACACACAACCACCCCATGAACACAACCAATGAGGACACAAGACATAGCAACATATGATACTGGCAATAACTCACCAACCCCCCCCCAAAAAAATAAAAAAATATCATACAGACATCTCATTAAACCCAAGCCGACAAACCCGACTCATGCATCACTACCCAAGTTAGAGATGAACAACAGGAGATCCCCAAGTGAGCCTCACACACTAACACTCCGTGCTACTAGACCTACTCCTCCATCTTACTTACTACGTACTCACAAATACTTCTCACAGATAAAAGTATACGACGGAATACAAATCTCAAACTCAACGCCTTGCAATTCATGGAATTCGCAGACACACACACCCACATAGACACAACACACACAAAAGTTTCTTCACATACAAGATACACCATGTTAAGACACATGCTGCCTCAATTAACTGACTGAACACACAAAACTCAACATACACCTGACCGAACGACGCTCCCTAAAATGACAGTAAACGCTTCATACAGATAAGACCTGAGTACCCAAAATGAGAATAGCTTAGAGACACATGCCAAATATATGCCATAGGACCTGCGAGTCCAACTAATTTATACTTCTTACGACTGAATGAGACCTGCGAGTCTCCAATGTATATATACATGGGCAACAACTGTTCCATTGCAATTGGTTGCATGCAGACATAATGGGACCGCCGTGTCCATACTGAAGCGTTCTCATGACACGTTCGATACTGAAAAACTTGAAACATCCAATAAAAATATATCTACGAAAGATACACCATGTTAAGACACATGCTGCCTCAATTAACTGACTGAGCATAAAAAACTCAACGTAAACCTGACCAAACGACACATCCTAAAATGACAGTAAACGTTTCATACAGAGGGGACCTGAGTACCCAAACTGAAAATAGCTTAGGGGCACACGCCATGTATATGCCATAGGACCTGCGAGTCCAACTAATTTATGCCTCTTACGATTAAATGAGACCTGCATGTCTCCAATGTATATCTACATGAGTAACATCTGTACCAATGCAATTTGCCTGCATGCAAACATCATGGGACCTGCGTGTCCATACCGAAGCTTTTTCATGACATGTTCGATACTGACAAACTTAAAACATCCAATAAAAATATATTTACAATAAAAGATTGTTTTAAAATTAAGCCAAATAAAGTGAATATAAAGATTTTAAAGATTAGAGACTGAAAAAAATTTCACCTCTAAAACCTGTGACCCGTGTGGGGGGGTTAGTGACACGGGAGATCCTTCCTGGCTAGCATCCATGCTGTCAGTAGGACCTACACAGCTTTACTAGACACCTTTTTTTTTCAAATTTAGCAGCAAGTCTCTGGAATTCTGACCGCGCATGCGCAGTAGCGCGGTTGAAACTCCGGTGGACCCCCACCACCCCCACCCGGGGCGTGTGTTCCACCGCTGTGGGTATGCGTCTCACTCGGGCAGTGATTTGCTGCCGCTAGAGAACTCCTACTTGCTTTGCCAGTGGCCGCACTCGGCATAAAGCAAGCTACACATACCTGCTCCGTAACTCCTCAGGATGCAGGCAGGCCGCTTAGCTCTCCACCCGGGAGGCTATCAAGCCGGATCCCCCTGGCAGAAACCCATGTGCCTCACCACAGAAAATCCAGATGCCGTCTGTTCCTGATGGAACAAGAAAAAGAGAAATGAGGGTCCATGGCAGGTTGGGGGAGGAACTTTTTATGTTAATTTTAATTTCAGATGCTTGTCCCAGGGAAGAGTACATCCCTATTGTACTGCCACCATATGTCGGGGAAAAAAATGCTATTTTTTTGTATTGGCAAGTGATCCCTGTATAATCAAATACACATCCAGTTTTTGATTTTGAAAAGCACTGCTCCCCTTCCTCAACTAAAACAAGCAAATTGTTATAACTGTAACAAAATATCTTTACTTGTTACGAATTGAAAAAACACTTGAGGAATTCACTGAAGATAGACACCAAATTCATAAGTCATAGAGAAAACCCTGCAATAAATCTTTCTAAATGTTTGCTTTCATTTTCAGCTACATGGTACTAAATCTTTAGACAAGCTGTGGAAAAACCTCGTTCAACACTATCAAATCTTTATTCCCTCTTACTGCAAAGTCAGACAACCATGAACATATTGAGAGGCAAAGAACATTTGCTCTGTCAGAATGTGTTATTTACAGGATAACCCTATCTTACAGTGAAATATAGAATATTGGGCATCATTAAAATGTAAATGTCCCTTTAAAGGTTAAAAAATATATAAATATATTTATAAAAAGGATTTTACACACTGTTCTAGACAAATTGCCAACATTTAGAATACATTTTACGCTGCAAAAACTTTAAAAGTACAAATATAGCTGCTGCTGTGAATACAAGAGCAAGTGTTTCCTTGTCTGACACCTTTACAAATATGGTGCACATTACTCAATCTATCTTGATTAGGGAGAAGCTTATTAAGTGCTGGCACGCTGGTACATTCATCCCTCTAGATTAGCAAACGCTCAGCCCGGCCCGGCCTCCACTAGCTTCCGCAAGGAGCGAACAGGGTATGTATTTGCATAGCTGGTACTCCTGTCCCAAGATTAAAGGACCACTATAGTGCCAGGAAAACATACTCGTTTTCCTGGCACTATAGTGCCCTGAGGGTGCCCCCACCTTCAGGGTCCCCCTCCCGCCAGGCTCTGGGGGGAGGAAGAGGTTAAACTTACCTCTTTCTCCAGCGCCGGACGGGGAGCTCTCCTGCTTCTCTCCGCCTCCTCGGTTGAATGCGCATGCGCGGCAGGAACTGCGTGCGCATTCAGCCAGTCCATAGGAAAGCATTCACAATGCTTTCCTATGGACGTCAGAGTCTTCTCACTGATTTTCACAGTGAGAAGTGCGGAAGCCCTCTAGCGGCTGTCAATGAGACAGCCACTAGAGGGTGGATTAACCTGAAACTGCTATGTTTATAGAAAAAAGGGTTAAACCTAGCTGGACCTGGCACCCAGACCACCTCATTAAGCTGAAGTGGTCTGGGTGCCTATAGTGGTCCTTTAAGCCTCTGTGAGATTCCCTGTTTGCTAAATTATCTAATTACCTTACTGTGACCCTCCACCCAGACCCATGGGTAGTGCTTTTAAACAGGGAGTATAGGGGCCTAACGTTTCCCCACACAGTGTACAAACTTATATACAAGGTTTGCACAGCTCTGAGAGTCTGTCTGGCTTGAATGGACGCTAAGATTTGGTATTTGATCGGAATGGGGAAAAAAATTACAGCAGTCATCAATGAAACTACTGACAATTTATTTAATGGGATACTATAGTCAACAGAATAACTACAGCTTAATGTATTTGTTCTGGTGAGTATAATCACACTGCAGGCATTTCCATGCAATTTAGAATAGATTATTCTACTGTGTATACATGTTAGGTTTAAATGTCTTAATGCATTTTTACATCTATAATTAATTTGGTGGGGTTGTCATTTACCTGTATACTTGAGAAAACATCCCAACATGTAACCCTGCTTGTTTTTCAGCTCTGGACAGACTATAACTCACACCACTTGTAGGTAAACTCTCACAGAGAATTACAGACTGCGATCACTAAAACAGCTTAACAAAGCAGTCTTTGTGTATAGATCATGTCCCTGCAGTCTCAAGATTTGCTCAGTAATCTGCCATTTAGGAGTTAAAGCACTATTTTTTCTGTCAGGACTATTACCTGAAGAAAAATGGTTGAGTCGGATGGGCCAATTGCTTGGGGAAAGAAAAATTAGATAATAGGTTTCTGTAAAAGGGTACATCATTAATGTGTTGAAAATACAACGTAAATATTGTGCTTTGAAACCCAATTCGCCTGAAAGAAATTAGTTGGTACAGTTCTCATTTGGCGTAAAATTTAATACCACAACTACTGTATTCCACTTCATGCAGCAAATAAGTGAGAAGTTAATTAACTTAGCAAAAATAATATAAGAAATAATTTCCCAAAAAAGTCACAAACCGAACTAGTGCGTAAAAGGAATAGAGCCTATGTAAAGGTTATTGAGCAAAGAGGTCTCTTGTCTATAGTGTCTATGTCTAATAGCTACACTAAAATCTGCAGCTGTAGCTGGGAAGCTTCTGTCTGTCCAAGTCCTCTGTTACACATACATTGAACTCTTAAAAGGAAGCTCTTGGTCCTGTCTGTCATGAATTAATCTGCTGACAGCGAACTACATACAGTCCTGCACTTGAAAAGGTCAAAAAGAGCACACAGTTTATTTTTTTGTTTCCTACAAGAAAATTACTTTGGGAGAGCTCATAAAAAGTCAGGGTGGGCCCTGATAAAAAGGGCATTATCACTTTTCAGGTTTTGGTTTAAAACAAATACTTTTTTGTTCTTCCATTTCTTTTCTTTTTTAATTCTATTTAGAATAAAGTAGGGGCTATATTATCTTATGAGGAGTGCGCAAAAGGACAACAGTAATCACATTTTCACTTCACGTATTTTTACATTTAATGAAATTTAATTATATTTTTTAAATGATGTATACAGATTTTTCTGAGAAAAGTTCCCTTTATTTATTTATTTTTATCATCTGGCAACCATGTTGGGTCAGAGTCTAATGGTATCTGACCAACTGCTGCTGCAGTTTCACACCGAGAATGCAGAGCAATTGCAGCAGAAAGCAAGTTAGGCTGAACAGCACTTGATCAGATAACAGTCAAGTCTGACCAAACATGGTTCCTCTGCAAAATAAAAGGAAGTTGTTGTTTTTTTTTGTTTAAATGTAAATTTAAGAAAAATAATGTAAATTTAAAAAAATGTTTTAAATGAAATCTAAGAAATGTTTAAAACATTATCTCATTATAAACTGTGGTGAATAAAGATAGTAAATAATATTTGGTGACAACGCGGACAGTCACCATTAAGCACGAATCATTGATGTGACAAGGTAAGATCACAGTACGAACATGACAAGCTCAAATGAGCAATGTGTTCCGTCAGCTCTTAACTGTGGAACACTGAAAAAACAGATCCACATTACAGCGCTAGCAGAATATTTCAACATATGCAATTTTAGGATTGCCTTCCTTGCGATGACACCATGGCTGCGGTTTAAAGGAGAGCAAAAGTGCAGACTGTGTAAAATGATTTTGCCACAAGAGGAAAACACTGGCACGAATTCAAATGGGGAAGTGGTAGTCATGTGACACAGAATCCATTTTTCTGGTCTTCAGCAAAATCAGTTGTTATAAAATCTATTTATTTACAACTATTATACACAATCAAAAGTCCATGTAGGTTGAATTATTGACAATGTTTACTTTCTGTCTTTATAATCTCACAGAGTGCTAACCACTTTCTTGATGGCAACCATAGTTTGAAAACCATTAGCCAATTGACATATTAAATATCTTGAAAGTGCCAACCATGTATTTTTTTTCCCTGACTCAACGTGGCAAATTATTAGCAAAGTTCTTAATGAAAAAACAATACAAGAGATGATAAACCCCCCTATGCCCAGAAATTTGTATTTGCCTTTAAAGGAAAACAGCATTCCCCTCCTTCCTTTTTAATGCATTACATGGATGTTGCATAAGACTTATGGGGAGGAGAGAAAAAAGCATAACAATTGCACACACACAAAAAAATTATTATTATTATTGTTTTATAGTTATTATTAAACTATTATATTTTAACGTTTAACAGATCCTACTGCTGCTACAGACAGAGACCCTCATTCTAGTCTATTCTGAGAGTGAGTGCTGTTTTTCTGTCATTTTCTTGGATCCATCGCAAATCTGGAGCACATCACTGCTGGCAAGAAAATCTTATGAGGTGCTGACCACTACCGAATCCTGAACTACATATCCCACAAACCCTTGCATGGCAGGTATTTGCAGGATATAGTCAGTGCTCAATATCTATAGAATGACTAGATTTAGGGGTCTAGTTAGGAATGCAGGAATCTTAAAAGGTATCACAACCATCACGGGTTCAAAAAAACACCCTTGAATTCCTGTCCTGCCTTCCCAAATTTGCAAGTGTCCCGTATCTCCTTCCAGATGTGGGACACTAGAACCAAAACCCCATAAATGGGAGCCTGAGTATGTCTTTAAAAATGCAAGCACTGTGCAAAAAACACTGAAGGCATTCAGCCAATGTGCAGGGCACATTAACATATCCTGTGCATATGCAGTTCTACGTGGGGCCAGTCAGCACGAGTTGGATGTTCCCACACCCTCTTGGAAACAAAGTGAATCAATGGCATACCCCCTGTAGGTTTACCCACCACTGTCATTGTTTCATGCTTCTCAATGCTGGGAATTACGTGAAGAGACTATTTATTGTGGGTTTTATTTCTATTAAATCTTTAGAGTACAATCTGAAGTATATCTTTAAGGTAACTGTGGCTTTGACTACCCTGTTATTCATACAGACTTTAGTAATTTTAAAGACTATTATTGGGGATATTTATACTTTGCAGCATTGTACAATAAGACTTGGAAAAACATAGTTCCTGAAACAACACAAGTCGGACTGCTTGATCGCCATGCTGAATGTTCACATGAACGATCAACACCTGAAGTTTTTCGACTATAAGGTAAGTAAATTCTTGGCTTTTTTGAGACCGATGCCTGGAAGCTGCAGTCCATTGCAAAAGAGGTGCTGGTACAAATGCTAAGCTTGCAATGTGAATTTTGGCCCCTTGAAGGAATGTTGTATGTCTTTGTGGCTGAGGCCTACTCAGGCCATAAGTGAAATGGATGGCCACCGCCCTGCTATCCTGCCCAACAGTTACAAGCCAGACCCTTGGCGCTATGGACAGGTGGGTGTGATCCCAGTCATCTCCTTGGGGGCCCTTTTACAACTCCAAGACCCCGAGACGCTGACTTAATACTACGAAGGAAAGAAGTCTTACAGTATTCTGGGGCAAGCTGAACCACCATCTGCAACAGCCTGCTAAGTGGGAGAGGAATAACGACCCACCCCAGAGCTTACCAGCATGGATGCAGTTTGAGACATCGGCTCCAGTCTAGTGGCATAATAGGTGGAGGCGAATAGAGTGCTCAGTCGGCGGCTGCAGTGCATGGCCCACCAGAGTGTCTAGATCCTCGGGGACGCTGCAGGGGGATATCACCATCACTAGGCTTATCTCTCCACAACACCTGGGTGCCACACCTGCCGATACTGGGGTTGTGGTGCTTGCAGCCAGCCAGACCAAACTGGGATTGTACAAAGCAACTGGTTCCTTTGAATTGATGTCTTATTCTTTTCCTTCTGATTTTCATAGTTAAAAGTTATGCTCTCTCGTCTACCTCTTACCACTGATATGGGCATTCCTATCTCATGCATCACCGCAGGGGCCCCCTGGGTGATATAGTATATGTTTGTCAGTTATGCACCCCAGCTCTTAGTTGTAGCTTCCCTCTATGTAGCCTTTAAAACGTTGAGCTGGCACATGTCTAAAAATAAAATATTTCTGTATACCTAACTCTTTCACAGTTAGCAAGTAATCATAGCATAATATGTTTAATTGTACTTACATCTTGCATCTGTGTACGTTTACTAGACGATTTATCTAGAAAAACGAAGCACTGCTTTGCAGTATACACCAATTTATACTGCCTTTATAGTTTACTACTTGTATTGATGTATACTTGATATCCTTGCTTGTGTAATTCAGTATGTCTCAATAGAAAATTTAATCACAAAACAAAAATAAATCGAACGTAATTTTACATTAGCTGTAAACTTGTGGGTCATAGTGCTGAAGATTTCAGAGGAAGACTTATATTTCCTGTCATGCGCAATCTGTAACTGATAAGAAAAAGTATTTGCAACATAATAGGATAGATATAAAAAAAGAAAAAAAGATAAAAAAAATACTTGTGATGCAGATTTTACATTAGAAGAAACCATGTGTATATATTCAACTGAATGATAATATATAAATTGCAATTACAGTGGGCTTTAAGAAAGAAAAAAAGCATCATATTAAAAAGAGACTCCATTAGCACCAAACATAGAAACATAGAATGTGACAGCAGATAAGAACCATTCGGCCCATCAAGTCTGCCCAATTTTCAAAATACTATTTATTAGTCCCTGGCCTTATCTTATAGTTAGGATAGCCTTATGCATATCCCATGCATGTTTAAACTCCTTTACTGTGTTAACCTCTAACACTTCAGCTGGAAGGCTATTCCATGCATCCACTACCCTATCAGTAAAATAATACTTCCGGATATTATTTTTAAACCTTTGCCCCTCTAATTTATGTCCTCTTGTAGTGGTAGTTTTTCTTCTTTTAAATATAGTCTCCTCCTTTACTGTGTTGATTCCCTTTATGTATTTAAATGTTTCTATCATATCCCCCTGTCTAGTCTTTCCTCCAAGCTATACATGTTAAGATCCTTTAACCCAGTGGTAGTCAACCTTTTTCCACTTACCGCCCACTAATGCATCTTTCTTGATGGAAAAATGTCCTTACCGCCCACCAGTTTTCGCGCAAGTGCGGAATATTTTTTAGAAAGGAGGGTGTTTTTAAAAAATAAAATAAATGTACGTACATTTATCTTTTTATTTCAACTTTATGCATGTTTATAATGTTTTTAACTTTATAAAAAGTTTAATGAGGAAGCAATAAAGTAAATTGAAATTACCTTTACTAGTGATTAAGGAGATCCTTGAGGTTGATGCTGCGAGACTAAATATTTGATATCTGGTTCGATTTTCGTAAAGAACAAACGAAGGTCTCCTCTTTCGGTGATACGCAGAAGACTTCCTTGTTTGCGCATAAAATGATTTCCCATCTGTGCGTCAGCTCCCCTCCTCTCCCTCCTCAATTCCCCTACCCACCTTTTTTTTCTTCCTTTTTTCTATTTTTTAACCTTCCTTATAGCAATGCCTAGTAGGAAGGCTGAGCTAGGTAGCCCACTTACTATTATTAGTCAACAACAATTCTCTCCTTTTCCTTTTCTTTCTCCTTTTTTTACAAGTATTCTACTTCTTCTTTCTCCTATTCTACAAGTACTCTGCTCACAGACACACACACTCACACATACACTTACAGACACACACACACTCACATAGAAACACATACACGCAAACATACACACTCACACATGCACTTACAGACACATACTTACAGACACACACACACAGACACACAAACACACATACACTTACAGACACACACACACACACATACACTTACAGACAGACACACATATACACTTACAGACAGACACACATATACACTTACAGACACACACACATGCACACAAATTATTAATATTAAACGTCCACCCAGCCTCCCTACCTGGAGAGCTGGTGTGGGTCTGTCCCTGGGGTCCAGTGGGGCTTCACTTCAGCGGGCGGCTGTGTGCTAATCAGACGCGGCGAGGGAGCTCTAACCTCTCTGCACTGCTCCCTCGCGGGCTGTCTACTGATGCCGGGAGACGGAATATGACGTCATATTCCAGCTCCCGTGGCATCAGCAAATATCGAGCGAGGGAGCAGTGCAGAGAGGTTAGAGCTCCCTCGCTGCCTCGGATTAGAACTCTGCCGCACCTGGGGGTCCAGAAGGTGGCCTGGCAGGAGGGAGCACTACCTCCTGCCGGTCACTGAAAACTTGCGCCCGCAGAGCCGCTCGCGCCCGCCCAAAAGGAGAAATCCTCTGAAAAGAGGATTTAGCCACCGAAATCCCTACTGCCCACCTGGAATCCTGAAACGCCCACTAGTGGGCGGTAGGGACCAGGTTGACGACCCATGCTTTAACCTTTCCTGGTTTTATCCTGCAATCCATGAACCAGATTAGTAGCCCTTCTCTGAGCTCTCTCTAAAGTATCAATATCCTTCTAGCGATACGGTCTCCAGTACTGCATACAATACTCCAAGTGAGCTCTCACCAGTGTTCTGTACAATGGCATGAGCATTTCCCTCTTTCTACTGCTAATACCTATCCCTATAGCATTCTGATAGTATTTCCTGCTGCTCTGTTACATTGACTGCCTACCTTTAAGTCATCAGAAATAATCACCCCTAAATCCCTTTCCTCAGATGTTGAGGTTAGGACTCTATCAAATATTCTGTACTCTGCCCTTAGGTTTTTACGTCCAAGATGAATTATCCTACACTTATCCACATTAAATGTCAGTTGCCACAACTCTGACCATTTTTCTAGTTTACCTAAATCATTTTCCATTGGGCTTATCCCTCCTGGAACATCAACCCTGTTACATATCTTCATCAGCAAAAAGACATACCTTACCATCAAGACCTTCTGCAATATCACTAATAAAAATATTAAAGAGAATGGGTCCAAGTACAGATTCCTGAGGTACCCCACTGGTGACAAGCCCATGCTTCGAATATACTCCATTGACTACAACCTTCTGTTGCCTGTTACTCAGCCACTGCCTTACCCATTCAACAATATTGGAATCCAAACTTAAAAACTGCAGTTTATTGATAAGCCTTCTATGTGCAACAGTGTCAAAAGCCTTACTGAAATCTAGTTAAGCAATGTCTACTGCACCACCCTGATCTATTTTAGTGATCAATAATATTAGTTTGACATGATCTCCTTAAAGTAAACCCATGTTGTCTCCGATCTTAAAATCGATGTGTTTTTAGATGTTCAACAATCCGATCCTTTAACATGGTTTCCATTACTTTCCCCACTACTGAAGGCTTACTGGCCTATAGTTGCCCGACTACTCCCTACTACCTTTCTTGTGAATGGGCACAACATTCGCTAACTTCCAATCTTCTGGGACACCTATTAACAATGATTGGTTAAATAAATCTGTTAATGGTTTTGCTAGTACACCACTAAGCTCTTTTAATAACTTTGGGTGTATTCCATTAGGTCCCATTGACTTATTTGTCTTTACTTTTGACAGTTGAGATAGAACCTCTTCCTCTGTAAACTCACACGTAACAAATGACTCATTTGTCCTTTTTCCTAACTGAGGCCCTTTTCCTTCATTTTCATCTGTAAATACTGAACAAAAATATTAATTGAGGCAGTCAGCTAGATCTTTATCCTCTTCTACATACCTTCCTTCTTTTGTTTTTAATCTAACTAATCCTTGTTTTACTTTCCTTTTCTCATTTATGTATCTAAAAAATGTTTTGTCCCTTTTTTTACTGACTGTGCTATTTTCTCTTCTGTGTGTGATTTGGAAGCTCTTATAACTTGCTTAGCCTCTTTCTGCCTAATCTTATAGATCATTCTGTCTTCCTCACTCTGGGTTTTTTTATAATTCCTAAATGCTAACTTTTTGTTTTTAACTATTTTGGCCACATCTGCGGAGTACCACAGTGGTTTCTTGAATTTTTTGCTTTTACTGACAAGCCTAATGCAATTTTCTGTTGCCTTCAGTAGTGCAACTTTTAAATAATCCCATTTCTCTTGGACTCCTTTTAAATTGCTCCAGTCTGATAATGACTCATTTACACATGTTCTAATTTTAGAAAAGTCTTTTTCTAAAGTCTAAAACTTTTGTTTTTGTGTGGTGTGACTCAGTCACTGTTCTTATATTAAACCACACTGACTGATGATCACTGGATCCCAAACTTTCGCCTACAGTAATATCTGATACCAAATCTCAATTTGTTAACACTAAATCTAGTATGGCTTCCTTACGAGTTGGCTCCTCAACGATGTGTTTTAGAGACAATCCCAGTAGGGAGTTTAGAATCTGTATGCTCCTAGCACAAGCAGCTATTTTGGTTTTCCAATTCACATCAGGAAGATTAAAGTCACCCATGATGATAACTTCCCCCTTTATTGTCATTTTAGCTATTTCCTCAACTAGTAGATTATGTAACTCTTCTATTTGTCCTGGGGGCCTATAAATCCCGCCTACACGAATTACTGTGTGATTACCAAATTCTAACGTAACCCAAACGGACTCTACGTTCGCCTCACTAACTTTTATTAGGCTAGATTGTATGCTAACCTTCAAATACAGGGCCATCCCTCCCCCTTTCTTGCCTTCCCTGTCTTTTCTATATAAAGAGTACCCTGGTATTGCTATGTCCCAGTCATTTTTCTCATTATACCATGTCTCAGTAACAGCGACTAAATCTACTTTATCAGTTGCCATTATTGCCACAAGTTCATAGATCTTATTCCTTAAACTGTGAGCATTTGTAGACAAGACTCTAAGCTTGTAATTTTTTAACACACTTGCTACAGGCACCTTCTGTCCTTGTTTTGGGGGGCAATTGGATTGATGTTTTATCACCCTTTTGCCCCCACCCTCCTAGTTTAAATACATCCTAGCAAAACCTCTGAACTGCTCATTGAGAACATTTGTTCCCTTTTGAGAAAGATGCAAACCATCTTTTTTGTACAGTTTATTTACATTCCAAACAGAGCTACCATGAGAAATAAATCCAAATCCTTGCTCCCGACACCATTCACCAAGCCATAAGTTAAAGTCCCTAATACGCATCCGCCTGAGTGTTATGCACAGAAAGAACTTCAGAGAATGACAGTGTGGAAGCAACCTGCAAAAACACTAAAAACTTCCTTTACCTCTGAAACCTCATTACAAGCCAAGTCATTTGTCCCTGGATGGACAAGTACTTCCTGCTTTGCTCGCTTAACAATATTACAAATACGTCTCCTGTCTCTGTGAGCGGTAGTTTCAGGAAGACATCTCACCATTGTCTATCTCCACACCTCTTATGATAGAATCCCCCAACAACAACTGCTTTCTATTAGGCTTCACAATAGTCTCCAAGCCTGCCTCCACAACACCACTACCGTCGGTGCCTGAGCCTGCCTCCACAACACCACTACCGTCGGTGCCTGAGCCTGCCTCCACAACACCACTACCGTCGTTGGTGAATAAAGGGTGAAAAACCCTTTATTTACTTAGCTTATCCCAGCGCCGATGAACCTCGGCACTGGGTTGCGGCTCCTCCTTCTCCGGGCACTAATGTGCAGATGCGATAAATTCATCAATGCTGGATTAATCAAAGACGCTGGATGTCCGTTTGGATGCACGAGGGAGACAGCCACTGGAGACAGACTTAGTGCTGCATGTAAACATTGCAGTTTCTCTGGAATTGCAATGTTTAACATTGCAGCACTAAGAGAAATAGAGACACTGCACCCAGATCACTTCAATTAGCTGAGGTTGTCTGGATACAAATACAAAAAAAAAAAAGTCCTGTGCTCAAACTCCCACTACTCTTGGGCGGCAGCAACAAGCATAGTACACATCAGCCCCCCCAATACATACAGTAAAAGCCAAAGGAAAAAAAAAAAGTTACTGCGCACTTCCCAAATCCTTAAGCATATTTAAACAAATGGAGGTTATTTAGTAACTCCAACGGCCATTAGAGGAATGCCCACCTGCCACGTCCTACATTGATTATTCACCTTGCTTCCTTGAGCTTCTGACAAAGATATCTCTAATGATACACACAGGGGTATTTTTATAAACTCCTACCTGATTATTAACCCTTAATAGGGAACGCATGGGGTGGGCAGCAGCACTGTAACATAGCAGTGTGTTTGCCTTGAAGTTGCAGGTGGACATCCCCTCTCATGGTCATTGGAGTAACTAAATAACCTCCATTAGTTTAAATATACATACGGATTTGGGAAGAGCGCAAGTAACTTTTTTTCTGAGGTTGTCTGTGACCCTTTAATGTCGCTACGAGAAATTGTTACACTTCCTTCAGCAAATTATCAGTGAATCCATTTTGAGTTTTTTTTTCTCTTTCTATACACACACACACATACATAAACACACACTGATAAGCCACAACATTAAAACCACTGAAGTGAATAACCTTGATTATATCGTTCCAATGGCTCCTGTCTAGGGATGGAATATATTGGGCAGACAGTGAATTTTATGTGTTGGAAAACAGAAAAATGGGCAAGCAAAAAGATTTGCGTGACTTTGACAAAGGTCAAATATCTGCCTCATAGACCGCCACTGGAGGTGCTTACTGCATCAAAATGGACCTTTGGTCCAGTATCCGACGCTGGATGTCCTCACGTTCTGCATTAAGACAGCCAGTGTCAGATTTGTCCCCATAGGAAAGCATCGATTCAGTCCAAACAGGTTTTGTTCCCACACATCCCTCTTAAGTTTCCATACTTAAGCAAGAGTATGAAGAGTAGCGAGTAAAAAAAAATAAAAAATAAAAAATACATTTTAAAAAATGTTTAAACCAATGGGCCTTTTCCATAGGCATGGGTCTGGAGCTGCAGCTCCATTAGCCCCTATGTCAATCCGGCCCTGGGTTAGACTTGGTTTAAGGATTTGGTTAGTGGTAGAGTTGGTATTTGTCCCCCTTCCCTCTCTTTTTCATCATTTGAAATTCATTTGATTCGCCTATTCAAACCCATCTCTGCTAACATTGACATTATGTATCACCCGGTTTCCCTCTCATCTTCCTTGACCACTTTGCTGCCTGGCTACCCTACTTCCTCTCCTCTAATATTCCATCCCTAATTCTTGGGGACTTCAACATTCCCATTTACCCACCCTTGACCTCAGTAGCCTCTAAACTACTTTCAATTACCTCCCTTGGGCTATCGCAGTGGTCTAATTCTCCCACTCATGTAGCTGGCAATACCCTCGACCTTATTTTCTCTTCTGCATGCACAGTGTCTAATATCTGCAAAACTCCATTTCCTCTCTCTGATTACCGCCTCTGATCATTTGCTCTCGAGAACCCCCTCACCAAACATCCTCGCCCTAGCCCCCCAACTCAGGAGGAACCTTAATTCTATTGACCTCCAGCAGCTGTCAGCTGGCTGATTCCCAACTCCTATCCATCCCTACCCTCTCCTGTCCCTCACTGGCTATCCCCACGTGTAACACTATCCTCACCTCTGCAGTCCTCACACTAAATCAACATGCTACCTGCAAAGATGCTCCCGTTGTGCTGGAGAAAGTCTTGCACCCAGTCAGACTTTCTCCATTATAGATTCATATTGCATTCATACAGTGCAGCCCTTGCCCTTGCCAGTCATACTTTTCTCTCTCTCTCATTAGTGCACACTCCTGCAATCCCAGGCGTCTCTTTGACACCTTGAACTCTCTTCTTCGCCCTGCTGTGGCCACCCCCCCAAACTAATCTTACAGTGGATAGCTTTTCGGTTTCAATCTTTTAAGAAGTTCCTTAAAAACCCTCTCTTCAGGAAAGTTTATGGCCTCCCAGAGTAACCTCTACCTCACATACCTGTCCCTTGGGCAGCACTCTTCTCACTCTCCTCCAGCTCTGCTTCAACCTTGTTTGATTGCGATCTCCTGTCCTATTGTGTTTTTTACCCCACCTACTATAGACTGTAAGCTCGTTTGAGCAGGGTCCTTTTCAACCTATCGTTCTTGTAAGTTTTTTGTAATTGTCTTATTTATTGTTAAATCTCCCTTCTTTTATAATATTGTAGAACGCTAGGGAATCTGTTGGCGCCATATAAATGCCAATAATAATAATATGGTTAGCATTAACTACCATGGCATTCTGGCTGTAAGTGGATTATGAGTGATGTAAGTCACACCATATGGAGTGCCGAAGGTTGCCTGACTCTGTCCAAGACATATGAAGCATTTAAAGGACCACTATAGGCACTCAGACCACTTCAGCTTAATAAAGTGGTCTGGGTGCCTGTTCCAGCTAGGGTAACCCTTTTTTTTAATAAACATAGCAGTTTCAGAGAAACTGCTATGTTTACACTGAGGGTTAATCCAGCCTCTAGAGTCTCATTGACAGCCGCTAGAGGCGCTTGCGTGCTTCTCACTGTGAAAATCACAGTGAGAAGACGCCAGCTTCCATAGGAAAGCATTGTAAATGCTTTCCTATGAATTGGCTGAATGCGCGCGCAGCTCCTGACGGGCATGCGCATTCAGCCGATGATGTCGCTAGGAAGGAGGAGACGAGGAGGAAAGCTCCCCGCCCGGCGCTGGAGAAAGGTAAGATTTTAACCCCTTCCTCTCCCCAGAGCCTGGCGGGAGAGGGTTCCTGAGGGTGGGGGCACCCTCAGGATACTATAGTGCCAGGAAACGAGTATGTTTTCCTGGCACTATAGTGGTCCTTTAATGAGGACTGATAAGTGAAACAAATCTGAGCTATTTTTCTTTAGTTGCAGGTCATGTGTAAAAATTATTATACACAAAACTGCAAAAATAAAGTGTTTTTTAATAAATATTCCTCCCCCCTCTATTTTTAAAACATCAATTGAAAGCCCTTCTTGCCCTTTAAAAACAATGTATAAACTATATATGGGTGGACTTAAAAGGAAAGCCTTAAATAATGCATTGCACTAACTTTAGGTTTTGTTTATGGTCCTCAAGTAGAAAATTTGCATCGGTCCTGAAATAATTACTGCATCCAAAAAAACAGTATTTTCATTGAGTTACCCTTCTGTGGTGCTCCTTTACCCCAAATTACAAAAAATAAAAGCAATAAAGTCAAAAACTTTGTCTTTTCCCATACCAAGACCAACTTCTCCCTGCATACCGATACATCCTGGATGACATCACCTGGCTCATAGGAGAGACTGGCAGAAAGGACATGCTAAGGGGAAATTATAGGTGAAATGGGGTGCATACTGCCATTTGCCTGTCTAGTACCAGCATGCTCTGCGTGCCAGCATCAAAATCCAATTTTTCATAATTTTGATATTATCCAGCTCAGAACTCTTGTTCCATGCTGGCTAATGAAGCAAAATGACAAAGCTGGAGGTGGAGTTAGACCTCCAGTAGCAGAGGGTTTATAGCAAAACGGTGAACACACAGACGCCAGGCAAATCAATGAAATGGTCATGGTGCTTGGAGTTACTCTTTAAGGGACTAAACCATAATTTGCAGTGAACAGAAAGCGGAATTGCAAAATT